CCACAGACCTTACGTTGCATTGACTTAATCCTTTATCCGGGACTGACCGCCCGGCAGATCCTCTCTTCACCATTCTCCCCGACTCTCTCCCCCCTATTCTTACACTTTCTTTGAGTGCGATGTGAGGGGCAGATCTGACAGAATGAGGGCGGCAGCACGGGAGCTGCTGCACACGGCAACCATGCAGACCATGCGTCGTAGACTGAAGCATGCCGAGGCGCTTGGGGGAGGCAGATGTTTCGGCACCACTGTGCTGGGAGCTGTGTCTGAAGACCTGCTGCTCTCGCTGTCGATGGCCCATCTGCAGCAGAAACCTACCAACCAAAGGAGCCTCGCAGCTGCCCTCCAAGGTGCGCTGCATTTTTTTGTGAGATGGGAAGGTGCGGTGTGTTGGACCATGTGTGTCATTCATATGGCTGTGTGCAGGCAGCGGCCTTGTGAGTAACCGCTGCGTGTTGGGTGTGGTCGGCTTCCTCGACAGGCGGTGGTTCGTGCCCGACAGCGTGGCCGAGCGGCTGGGCCAGCAGCTCTATCACGACCAACCGGCCGGCATCTCCATCGACGGCTCTGCCAATCATCATGTGATGACGTCGGGTGTGATGCACGCGCAGTGCCTCGAGGCATTGAACGTGCCAGCTGGCCATCGGTGCCTCGACCTGGGCTCCGGCACCGGCTGGATGACCGTCGCCATGGCAATGCTGGTACGTATGTGTCCAATCAAAGAGGGCGTGTGCAGCCGACAGACACAAGTGACGTTGTGGTGCGTGGGTGTTTTGTGGGTGTGTCCGTTCGTCAGGCAGGCGGGCGGCGAAGGGGGGTCAGTGGGCATCGACATAGAGCCATCGCTGGTCGACTTTGCTGCCACCACGGCACTTGCGCGGTGTGCCGATGCGTGTCATCAAGAGAGGAGGCTCAACGTGCGGTTTGCCGGTCAGTCAGCGTTGCCCCCTGCCTGCTACAAACGAGAGAGACCACACCGACCTGTGCGTGTATATGCAGTGGGTGACATCCGCGACCCAGCCACATGGACATCATCACACCACCCTCGTGCATTCGACCGCATTCACATCGGTGTTGCGCTGCCCCAACTCCCGGAGCACATCATCGAGCTTCTGGCGCCAAACGGTGGGTGGGCACACACGACGCCATTCAGTGGATCTTCCGAAATGCCGTACTGATCGTTTGCCCTGTCTGTCTGCAGGTCGCACGGTGGTTCCAATTGGGGAGCTTTCGAGTGAACAGTCGCTGATGCTCGTGACAAAGGGGGACGACGGACAGACGGTCGGTGTGCACACCACACAGCAATCAATACACGTAGACACACAGACACACGATGATGGTATACGCAGGTCACGCATCAAGAGCTGCAGAAAGTGGTGTTCTCTCATGTCGACGCGCCCCCTGCCGCCGAGCCACCGGCGTCCAAAACGTCTCCTTCTGCGGACGAGCTGCGTGAGCGACGGCGTGTGCTAGAGGAGAGGGTGGCTGAGTTGTGGCGGCGGGGGAGGGAAGGCAGGGCCAGCCTGAGTGACGCCCTCAAGGGCAGCAATGGCGCTGAGCTGTCGCGTGTGTTGGACGAGCTCAGACGAGTCAAGAGACTGTGCGAAGGGAAGCTGTGACATGATGAAGTAAGGTACTCTCGGTGTTTGAAAGGCGATCGTTCAACAAGAATCTACACCCTAGCTATAATCACACACACACACACACACATGCGATTGATGGACAGCGGCTGCCCGGCTGCCTGCTTTTCTTCCCATCACTCATCGATCATTCACACCAGCCCTCTTCTGAGGCTCTCGGCGAGCTTCACATGCGACAAATACTGTTCCCCGCTCCCTCCTGCATCCAACACCAGCACCAGACTCCTGAACGAAGGCACACACACACACACAAAGACAAACACACAGACAAATGGCCACACACACCGACAGAGATTGTGTGGAATGGTCTCACCCACCTAACCACCCAGAGAAAATAGGCCGTTAGAGGCAGGAACACGAGGCATAAGAGGACGGTTGTGAAGGTGAAGGCAATCCAGAGGTGCGTCGACAGCACCCCGTTGACCATGGCCTGTGTCTCGGAGTGGTGCTGCTCGCCCGCCTTGCCTTCCACCTCGCCCTTCTCAACCATCGATGCCACCACGGCTATGAGGACCAAAGGCAGCAGCAGCTCCACGAAGCTGCCACAGACGTACAGCCAGTAGAACACCTGACAGGCAAAGAAAAAGGACGATGGCCGGCCATCAAAACAGAGAAAACGCGCCTTCTCTCTCTCGGACCTTTGTCCCGAGCGTGTGTCTCTTGTAGCAGGCCCAGCATCCCATCACACCGGTGACGAGCAGTAGGGCTGCCAGGGGGGCGTACACATACAGCGGGTGTTGGAAGGCCTGCAGGAAGCCCCCCAGGGCGCATAGGCCCGCCACCACTGCCCCGCCCAAACGGAGATTGAAGACGCAGAACAGTTTGCCCACTGGATAGCGGGCGGCCAGCTGGACACACACGCACGGGCACACACACATTCGGATACACAAGCAATTTGTCTCCCTCTCTGGACCTACCAGATGGACGGCGGCAAACAGGCCTCCAGTTGCCAGTGCAGCGATGACGCTGACGAGTGTGGCCACTTTTGACGACAGCTCTCGCCCCTTGACAGCCGTGTCGGGCGGCGGTGCGGCACCCTTTGGCTCACTGCAGTCGATGGCACACAGCTCGCGGACCGTATCCTTCCACTCAGCCAGCACCAGGCTGCCAATCGCCTGTATGCAGACATACAGGCGACAAAGATGTGAGGAATGGCGTCTGACGAAAGTACGTCTTCGGTGCAGCAGCCCGCTGTGCTGAAGTAGTTTTCGGCCTCGCCCAGGAGCGCCCCTGACGGCGACACCTTCACGTTGACATGCGCACAGTAGCATGACGCCTCGGCACTGATGTTCTCTGAATCGTGAGAAGGCACATCCATACCCCAACAATTATGGCCCAACGAGCCACCGTGCGTGTGTGTGACACTGTGTGTGTTTGTCTCACGAGCGTGGACAGTGCAGTTGCGGTAATCGGCAGCCCCTTCATCGCCGATCCTATCCACCACAGCTGCACCAACACAACACCCACACCATTATCATCTCCCATGCTTTACTTCTCGTTCCCTCTGACCCTTATGGAACTGGGGGATGCACTGCTCAATCAGCGGCGGCAACACCGTCCCGGCCGGCACCCCAGCAGCCATGACATCAGCCGGGCTCTGTTCCAGAAGAGACCTCCCAACACGCCCATGGTGACGATGGTGACGCCGGGCCTTGTGTGAGTGTGTCCCCTTCTGCCCCTGCACCCCCGTCGTCATGAGTGCAGTCAGCAGGGCGTGCACCGCCAAAGGGCTCGGTGAGATCTCCTCCTCTGGACGAGCAAGGGATGGCCGCGGCTCCATTTGTTGAATGAAGCCAGCCACAAGACGAAGAACGGGCGCATCGAGGATAGTGGGCAGGGTGATGGCGTCCGCCGTCAAGACATGGCGCCATTTGAATGCTGCTGTGTGGGCATCCGGCGGCTGGATGAGCGGTGCGAGAGGTGCCTTGAAGGACGCGTCGAACACATCGGCTGCAATGATGATTGAGCTGCTGTGGTGGCCTTGGGCAGCTGTAATGATGAGGGCGCTGGTGAACAACAGAAGCCGAAGATGGGGCATTGCCGAGATCAGTCCTAAACCCTAAACCCTCGACGAAAGTAAATCGGGTGGGGTTTCAGGTACAGGGTTTCGGGTCTAGGGTTCTTAGGGTTAGGTCTAGGGTTGTAAACCCTGTAGGGTCTAGGGTTCAAAACCCTGAAACCCGAACCCTGAACTCTTTCCCTGCGACACTTTTGGACAACATCTGTGTAGTGTTCCGTCCTCTTTCGTCGCTCAAGTTGTCCTCCGTGGTTCCCCTGGCGGCGATCTTCCAAGATCTGCGAGATGACTCCCGCAGCGATACTTGGGGTGCTCCTCGCTTGCGGCTTGGTGCATGGGTTCGACATTCGAGAAGAGCGGGTGGTCTTTCCCGTTCCTGGGGCTGCTGTATCTGCTGAGGGGGAGGCCATCGAGCCACTCGAGGGATTTGTGGTGAGAACAAATGTGCACACAGATCACCACCAAAGGTGTTGTTATTGTATGAGGTTGTGCTGCAGCTTTCGTCTATTCGTCTGTGTGTGTAGGCCTTTGACGCAGAGAATGAGCTGGGTGACAAACCAAGACCCACGATACTCATCATTCCTGACGCGTAAGCAATGCAGCACTGGCACACCAACCAACACACGCTCTTCTGTTTCTGCTTTGTCAGTGACGGGCTCACTGACTTTGAGGAGAACCGCGCCAGGATGCTGGCAATGCTGCCCGAAGGCTGGCTGGCCTTCGTCGCACCCATGTACAACGCGTCAGCGGTAGCAGACATCGATCGGCCGCAGAGGCGTGACGTCATGGCCACCGTATTCGCAGACAAGGAGGGCCTCATCAGCCGCATATCCGCTGCTGTCAGCTTCCTCGAGACGGTCCCAACGGTAAGCGAGACCTTGCAATGGGGATCGGATCACACCACGTTTCTGCCTCGTTCCTTGGTTTTCAAAGGCTGACACGTCGAAGATCGTGGCGACGGGGTACTGTTTCGGCGGATCCATCGTGGCTGACCTGGCGCGCGCCAATGTGAGCCTGGCAGGTGTCGTGTCGTACCATGGCGGTCTGTCGCGCATCCTGGAGAGAGAACAACAGCCCACAGACTTCGGCGACACACGAGTGAGATGAAATACATACATACAGGGGGCAGAGAGAGAGGTTCTGTGGATGTGGCTTCACTCTGTGTGTGTGCGTGTGTGTGCAGGTGTTGATGCTGAATGGTGCCGATGACCCTCTCATCCCCCGCGGTGACGTGGAGGAGTGGATCGGCATCATGCAGGAGGGACAGGCAGGTCAGTCACCTCACCCACACACGTCACACCAGGACACGACACGTCAAGTGCTGCCCCGACCACGTGTGTGGCGCGCGTGTGTGCAGACTTTGAGTTCACTGACTTCTCTGACACGCTGCACTCGTTCACTCGACCAGACGCACAAGGGTCAGCTGGCTGCACAGCAAGGGGACAGCCGGCGTGTCTGTGTCTGTGTCTGTGTCTGTCTGCTGATTCATATCATTATATGGCCCGTGTGTGTGTGTGTGATCAGCGACCGTTCCCGCTATGATCTGTATGCGGATCAGCGCTCCTGGCTCGCCACACACCACTTCCTCAAGTCAGCCAGCAAGATGACCGTAGTAGCTGCATCTGCATAATGGCAACAAGTGCTGTGTTGTGTGGGGTCAGTTTGGTGTTTGGCTTCTCGACCCCCTGGAGCCTGCCCGAGTCGCCAGCGACACTTGTCAAGGAGGATGTCTCGTTCATGGCACGCTCAGCACAGATCAGAACAAGGCTCCCGTCAATCATCGTACAATCGTGGGTGGATGTTGTGTATGTGTGTCTGTGTCAGGATGGGGATGAGGAGCTGACGGGCTACATTGTCTACGACAGCGCCAAGGTGAAGGACAAGGCACCTGTTGTCATTGTCACCCAAGACTGGTCGGTCAGCCCACGCTGCACACATCAAGCAGGTGTGCAAGTGAGTCTGTCTGTCTGCCGTTGCCAGGGATGGCGTGAACGACTTTGAAAGGATGCGAGCAGATGCGACGGCATCGCTCGACCAGGGTATGTGTATATGCGCAGATATGTGCACATGTGTATACGTAATGTGTATGCCCATTGTGTGCACACGTCAGGTTACCTGGTCTTTGCGTCGAGTGTCTACCCTGTCGGGTCGGTCTACGAGACCATCGAGCAGCGCATCGCACTCATTGGCGGCTTCTTCGGCGACCTCGACAATATTCGGTGACACACTGCTGTCCGCCATGCATCCAACCACCATATTGTGTTGTGCGTTGACGGGCATGTGCGCAGTTCTCGCATGACGGCCATTGTCGAGTACATCAAGGAACACGAGCTCGCAGACCCTACCAACATCATTGCCACCGGTCAGCTGCCACACACGCGTGTGCGCACGCTGTACTCATATCTCTCTTTGTGTGTGTGTGTCAGGGTATTGCTTTGGTGGGAGCAGTGTGCTCGAGCTGGCGCGTGCCGGCGTGGAGGGCGTGAAAGGTGTGGTGTCCTTCCACGGAGGGCTCGACAGCCTGGCCAACACCAACGTCACGTCGGACTTCGGCGACACAAAGGTACGCAAGATCCATCCACGAACGAGTGCACCTCGTGTCGTCCAATGCTTCCTTCCTTGTGTGTGCCGACCGACATCAGGTATTGATATTGACGGGCAACGATGACGACGGCATCAGCCGGTCCGCCGTCGAGACAGCCATTGCAACCATGAAGGCCGACAACGCATGTACAGACACACACACACACACAGCGGGCAAACAGCATCCACGGCATTTTCCGCGCGCGTGTGTGTGTCTGTGTGTTCCTCTCTCTGTGCAGCATATGAGGTGACATCCTACGGCAACACTGTCCACAGCTTCACCGAGCCGACCGCCGACTCGTCCAACAGCCGATACAGCCCTTACGCCGACCAGCGCTCGTGGGAGAGCATGGTGGACTTTTTTGAGTCGACATTCGGCCTGGCTGAGAGCCCTTTGCCGTCGGTGGGCAAAGTCGGCGGCAACGGGGGAAGGCGCCGGCGGACCCTCAGAGCCGCTGAATGAATGATGGAGGAGGATTGCTTTGTTTGTTCAATTCTCGGCCGTTGCGGCGCAATGCTCCTGCATGTGTCTCTCCTGGCTGTCTGTCTTTCTGGCGCCTGTGCGTGAGGGCATTTTGTAGTGCACATATGTCTGCAGGCCTATGTCTTTCTATCCACGCATTATGCAATTTTGGCCGTTCGTGTGTGATGTGGCTCGTGGCCGTTCCTCTGTGTCAGTCAGTCAGTCAGCCGCGGCTGCCCCTGCAGAGCGCTTCTTGCCGTGTGTAGATCGAGCCAATCGTTTTTCGTCTCTGTGCTGTGCTGTGCTGCTGGTTTGGTGTGTTGATTGGTGCATGGATGGCAGGTGTGCATGCGAGAGGCATGCAGGCTAGGCTGAGCGGACCGGGCGGCTGAGTTGAGCGGTTGTCGGAATGTGAATGGGAGACATGAGAGACGAATATGTAATGCATGGAGACATTACATCCCCAAACACCTTAGTGTGACGCACACACACCGAATATAAAATGCAGTCAGCGATCGATGCAGTGTCACCATGTGCCTGCTCCCTCCTCACGTACACCTTGGACTTGCCGCCCGTCTGGATCTGCTGCAGGTCCTCGTGGTGGCCGATGTATTTCCGCGTGTGTGTGCAGCAGCAAGCCCGCCACGCACCCTCCGTGTGTATGAGTGTGTGTGTGTGTGCAGATACGCGACAGCCACGAACGCAAACATCGCGACAACGAGCACTCAGGATATAAAATGTAGGCAGCGATGTAATTTGGGCCCTCCCTCCCTGTCTCTGTCTGAACGCCCCCCTGAGCGCCCCCCTCACGTACACCTTGGGCTTGCCGCCCGTCTTGATCTGCCGCACTGCCGGGTCCTTGTGGCGGGCGATGTACTGCCGGGGCTGCTTCATGTTCATGTCGTCCAGGGCGGGGCTCGTCAGGGCACTCTGGGCTGCGGCCGCCGCTGCCGCCAGTCGCACGCTTGTCGTGGGCAGCGGGGCGGCGACGGCCGGCTGGTTGATGATGGGGGTCTGATGACACACAACGACAGACAGACAGACAGACAGACAGGAAGGGATGAAATGGATACGTTTGTATGGTCTGTCCTCTCCCTCATGGACGCACCTGTCTGGCAGCCGCGGCATTCTCCGACTTGGCCACGACGGCCTCGAGCTCCTGCAGCGACGGCAGCTCTATACGAGCATCTGTGTGGTGGAAGCCACACACACAGAGGAACAGAACAGATGGCAGAGTGTGAGCATGTGCAGGGATAGGGGTGCGGTGTCTGTGGGGGGGGGGGCGCTAGTAATGTAATGTCTATCTCACGTCCAGATGCTCCTCGCCGCTGAATTCCCTGGCCTTGTCCAAGTCCTTCTCGTAGTTGACAGCCGTCTCGGCGGCCCTCAACCACACGACTCCCTGAACGGACCACATGTAACACACAGCACACACAACACACAGCACACAACACACAGCCCGTATGATGGTGATGCCCCGCCGATATCCAGGGTGGCTCGGGAAGCCTTCATCATGGGCGTGGTCCCGTGACTTCCAGAGTGCCTCGGAACGCCTGCCCGAACCTGAGAAGAGAGACAAGGAAGGAAGATGAGACAGACACATAAGTATGCTCTCTTCTCGTCCTCACTCTGCGGCGAAATGATGGTGCGTTTTGAATTTTTCTTCGTTGCTGGGGCTCTCTTCGGGGTCTTCACCTGCAAGCAACAGAGGCCCTTGACAGCGGTCTGCTGCTGTTCTTGGTGACGCATCTGCTGATGACTTGCCTGCACACATACGCATGGATGCGCGACAAATAGATATACATAAACGCAAGAATGGTTTTCGCTGTATAGCGGTGCAGCGTGAGTGCGTGTCTCGCTTCCTGTCTGTTTCTTCAACCTTATCAACGATGTCCTCATTTTACTGACCTGTACATGCGAGTGCCCGGACGGTCCGCCCTGTATATATATGGGGGGTGATTCGTGGTGTCCATGAAGAAGCACATGTCGAAATCGGTGAGCTTGACGGTGCCGTCAGCCGCAAACATCAAATTCTCGCCCTTGATGTCACGATGAATCAGCTGCAAACAGGAACACACCAAGAAGGGCCTCGCGTTCTGTCCGCGACCTGCTCTTCTCTCGCCGCTCACCCCAAGCTCTTCGTGCATCAATATATTGTCGTGCATATACTGGAGCGCGAAGAGCGCCTGCATGACAATTCTCTTCACTTCACTCTCCTGGTTATGCAGCACATCAGGGCTCGGCAGCACGTCAAAGATGTTAGCGCCGGGCAGCTTCTCCATTGCCACGTAGAGGTGCTCGTTGTCCTCGAGCAGCTCGAAAATCTGGACAATGTGTGGATGATCGTTGCGGAGAAGCCTCTTGTAGATGTCCTTCAGATATGAAATGTCCACAAATGGCCTGCATGCGTGGATGGACATTTGATCATGGACATTTGATCTGTGGATGGCCTACTCGAAGAGCTTCCTCTCGATGCGTTTGAGGGCACGGTCTTTGCCCTTCTTCCCCACCCATTCCCCTTCTCCTGTCACTCGAGCTCATCTTGCATCAGGCGTCTTATGATGTTTTCGATGCTCTCGTTGGAGGGCTGTCGCGCCTGTCCTGCGGCGACAGCCCCCAAATCTTGACTTTGATGCTGTTTGAGAGGCTCCCCTTGTTGAGGCTTGCCGTGCTTAGTCTTGCCCTTCTCGTTCTTGATGAGCTCTCTAATGTACTTCTCGCCTGCGGTCTCACGATTTCGCTCGGCCTCGGCCACTTTGCCGCGGTTGACAATCTCTTGCAGCTCCTCGGCGAAGGCGGGGTCGGCTGAGGACATCGGCGTCGGCTCGGTGGCAACCGCCTTCGATCTCGTCTGGCTACTTTGATCTCGTCTGGCAACGTGCACAGCTTCTGGAGTGCCGCCTCGAATGCACTCTGCAACTGGCTGAGAGTTTCTCCAGGGGCCCCTCAAAGGCGCAGCTCTCTGACCAGGTCTTGGACAAGTACCTTGTTGCGAGGCAGGATGAACTCTCGCCCTCAATCTTGACGAAGAGGTCGAAGGTGTCAGGAATGTAGTAGATGTCCTCATGGCCATGTACAGAAGGAATTAGTCTGTCCACTGAGGAGAACGGACTGAATCCTGGATTTTGCAGAAAAGAAAAGCCGTCGCCGTCTCAAATCTCGACGGAGCAGTCTCAGCTTGCAAAGTAAACTAGCTCAATCGCACAGGACCCACAGGCTTTAGGACTGGCGGCGTGCCACCAGTGCCTTAACGATTTCCGCATCCACACGTTCATGCTGCCAAACTGTGCCAATGTCTACTCGTCTGTCGCTACATATTGACACCCATTCATAGGCTCTCTCGCCACATGAGTGCAGCCAATCCGTCAGTCAGTCAGAGTCCTGTAAGGGTCTGCTGGGGTCGATGTTGTCCGGGGTTGTCTTGTGGAGTGTCATGAGGTGCGTCCACAAGGGGTGGATGAAGCTGTATCGGTGCAGCCGGTACTCCTTCAGACACGACGCTATCACCGCCACTTGCAGCGAACGGAACAGGGTGATGAATCCCACAAATATGCACACTACCTCCTGCGCACATAGTAGGAGACACAGACAACACGCATACACACAAGAAGTGTCGGCAGGGCGATGAGTGAGGCACGGCACTGTCTTACCACTAGCGTCAGGAAGCTGTGTTGCCGTAGAGATATCATGCCACGACCTGAGCATACACACACACGTACGCATGCGACATGCTCTCCACCTGCCTCCAGGTAGACAGGCATGTATGCTCGTGTGTGTCCCTCCCTCACTTCTGTCCCATAGAGTGGTCAGCAGCGTCAGCAGCCGGGATGCAAACGCCCCGTCGGCCCTGTGCTGCGACTGGTGCGTGTAGAATACGGCAGACGAGGCGATGACAAAACCCGCCAACAGGATGATGGCCACGAGCAGCGGGGCACGCAGCTTGGCGACTGTCGACCGAAGGGCTTGCAGCTGCGAAAAGTAGAACAGACTGTATCGGACCATCGCTCCCATGAACAGCAGCAAAAGGATGGAATCGGCGATGTGGGATGCCTACAGGCATGAGAGCAAAGCGGGAAGCAGCATGTACAGCATGGCACATCAATTGTGGGAAGGTGTCTCACATTTCGCAGCCGGTAAAAGTAGTCGAAGCTGTCATACGCCTCGAGACCATCCAGCACGCTATCCTGTGGGCGAGAGACGCGGAGAGGTGCAGGCATATAGCCCAGAGTCTGCCGTTTCGTGTTTCTTACGTTGATGTGGTCGGCTGCCCATGTGGTTCGGATGGCAAACGACACAATGATCATGATGGGGATCGACAGAAAGAGAAACGTCCACACAGACAGCCTGTAATGACATTTGTAGTATGTATGGATGCCAATGAGACTTGCCGTCCGTTCTTGTTACTTTTCTTTCTCTGTATCGTATCTCGGCCGCAGTATGCGGCGACCCTGACAGAAGACACGCCTGTGTGTGTATGTGTGTCTCTTTGTGTGTCTTACCTCCATTGCGATGACCACGAGTGCCCACAAGATGGCGAAGGCAAAGAGCACGTGGTCCTGGGCCACGAGGATGTAGGAGCTGACCGCTATGGGCAGCAGCTGCACCTGGGTCACCGCCGAACCTGAGACAACAGCCATCTGTGGGCTGAGTTTATATGCATGGCTGTGTCGGGTGTTGGTTGAGGACCGGCGACATTGATTTCTAGATTGACGTAGCAGCTGAGGATGGCGTCCACACTGCACAGAGAGACACACCGACGTGTACACCGCAGTGCGATCGGTCATTGACTGAGCACGCTCACCTTGGGTTGTAGAGTATGAAGGACACCTTTACTAGCCGCGTGTCGGCGGTCAGCCAGCCGGCCCTTAGTGACGCAAGATCGTTACGCAACGTCGCGCTGAAAGAGCAAAGAACCAACGGCGATCCTTCTCGTGTGTCCTGCATGGAATTGCTCACATGTCGTCGACAGCCACGTGTCTGGTGTCTCCATCGCCGCCCGAATCATATCTGCCCAGCAGACCATAGCTGTCACCACCAGCCGCAGGGAGGGCCCCGGCAGGGCCCTTCTTCCAGTCAGCAGCATCCCTGGCGGCACGAATCTTGGGCTCGATGTTGATGCGATGCCAGCTGACAGTGGACACGCAGAAAATGAGGAGACAGGCATGTTTATGCCGTATGTGTGTGTGGTGTCCCATGCGAACAGGCTGGCTTACGTGTATGGTGGCTGACATGCTGGGAAGGCAGCTCCACCAAAGGCTGATGTGAATGATTTCTCCATCTCTGCTCGGCACACAGAAGGGCGACACAGTACAGCCAGGAGGTGACAGCACGTTCGGCTCTTCTCACTGGTATAGACGTCAGTGCACTCCTCTAGGTCCTCTAGTCGGTCTTGCACAGTGACTTCCTCAGTCGCCTTGCGGGCTATGTCAACCTTCCTTGCACACAAGACACAACGAGGGAGAGAATCAAACGACAAGCAGCACGCAGCGAGGCAGCTTTGGCCGCCTTACTGCCTGCAGCTGCAGCTGCCCCAGGAGGGCGAATGAAGCCCTGTTCAGCCGATTGGGCTCGGTGACCTCCTCAATGAATTGGACGAACGGCCCCTCAAGCCACAAAAGGAACGTCTCATTGCTCCGGACGTCAAACATGGAGAGCGCGTCCGCATCTTGGCCCCTCTCTCTGCCCTCCATCAGGTATGCCGGCGATGTGAGAGGCCTGTGGTCGTCCTGGTTGGCCATCGACGGCTCGGTGAAGTGTATCAGATGGCCGTCGCTTTCGATGCTCTCATACAGACGCCTCCTTCCTGGTGCCCCGTCTGATGTCTCGTTGGTAGGGTAAGGCCTCGTCAGGGTCTCATACACGTGGGAACGGAGTACACGCTCCTGCACAACACACACACAGCCTTACCCATCAGCCAGGGTGTGATAACGCTGCCAACTGACGTGGACAGTCCGTGCTCTGTTGGGGCCGACGGCGCTGGCCCAGAAGAAGATGGCAACGACGAGGAATATGACTTCAATGACCCGCATGAGCATGTCAAAGTTGCGGACGGTGAGCTTCATCTTGGCGCGGTCGATGTAGTCGGACAGCCGGGGCAGCTTGAGCATCTCCTCGCTCTCTCGTTGCTGTGTGTCAAGCCGCTCCAGCATCATCTTGTCCACACCAGTCTTCCTCAGATTCTCGATGTTGACGGCCATCTCGTCCCACACCGCAGGGCTGTCCTGCGGCGCCACTGCGTGCAGCACCGTCCTGCCTCTCACAAGAGTCAGTGGGTAAGGCCGCCCCTGCAGCGCGTATCTGCTCGTCTTTGGGAGGGCAATGCTGCTTATCGACGCCTGCTTCGGCACAATGCGCCCATTTCTGTCCAGGAAGTAGACAGCGTCAGGGTCGAGACCCCAATAAAGAGAAGCCTGGTGGGCCACGTGCTCCACGGTCTTGGTGACATCCACGTCGATAAGGGCAGTTGTTGTGGCCCAGGGGTCACTTCGCGATGGGACGCTGGCGCCTGTCCGTGCGTCGAGCTGGAAGAGCATTTTCGGGACAGGTGGCGGCTGGTGGTCATGGGCGCTGGATGGCCGCTCTGCGCCGCCCTCTGAGTCTTCCACTATCCTTCTCATGGCGGATGGGTCCATTCTATTCATCAGCACCTCCGTCGTCTGGTCAGCCTTTGCACCTGAGACACGATAAGAAAACGCGTACAGATGGCCAGTGGGTCCAGAAGGGGTCGGTTCCCACCTGATGGGCTGGTGAGCACTTCGATGCGGATGGGTACAGTCTGTGCCGTCTGGACGGTGCTGAGAAGAGAAGTCCCACCAGCAATCACTGAAGCCACAGAGGCGTCCATCCGGCTCTCCGTCTTGGAAATATCATCCAATGAGCCAGAAAAGGCGGCATCGCGTCCAGCAGACTCCACAGCGCCGTCGCGGAAAAGGGGGGCCATGCTGAGGAACGAATCGAGGAGCCTTTGGCACTTGTCGTTGATTTGTATGATATCCTGCGACGTCAGATTGACTTCTTCGTCCGTCTTGATGGACGCAAGGCGGCTGCTGTACCGCTCCTTCTCGCGCGTGAGACGTTCCAGGCTCTCTGTAGTCTTGTGAATGCTGGCAAATCAACACCACCGAGTCAGAGAGTGCACCATGCGAGTCTGTCATCGATCGATGTGTGCTTACTCTCCGCGTACGGCATGCAGTTTGGACTGCAGCTCCACGTTGGCATTGTGCAGCTCTGTTTGCAGCGCCCTCAGGTACTTGAGACTCCTGGCTTGGTAGACCCTGTCGAGGATCTCATCTCCGCCATTGAGAGGGGCCGCCAGTGGGGGAGGAGAAGGGGCGGCCGGCTCGGGCTGAGGCTGGGGTGGCAGTGGGTCGATTGAGTCGGCGATGAGGCTGGTCATTCGGGGAAAAGGATGCAATCAATGGGAGAGGGATCCTCCGACGCAGTCTCAGGGCCCCCACAGCAGATCCCTCGTGCGCGAATAGATGGGCGTCAAGGCAGTGGCGTGCCGGCCCTTTAAGCCATCACCTGGGGGAAAACCATTTTTGGAATTTGAAGCTCGCAGCTAAGCTCGCAGTCCTTCCCAAATCGTTGGCCGTGTAACCTTCTCTTCTTCGCCGTGGACGCTTTCTGCAGATGATCTGCAAATGATCTAGGCTGCCGAATAACTTCCGCCACTGTTTGGGTCATCTGTCTATCTATGGAGGCTGCAGGCGTTGGGAAGGGGCCGAGTGAGGGTGAGAGTGACGGCGGCGTCAAACGGGAGAGGAGTGAGAGCGGCAGGCACTGTCAGAACGCCGGACTGCAGGTGGTCATTGTTGGGGGAGGCATTGTCGCCGCATCCATCGCATGGTAACGACCAACCAACACTCATGGCAGAGAGCAACCACAAGGCTGAGGTTTGCTTGGTCCCCCCACCGTTTGATTGTCTGTTCCGTTCGCAGGAATGTATCTTTGACGTGCAGCGTGATAGTCGTGCACGACACCCCGGTGGACTCTGTGCTGCCCGTCGCGTGTGAAGACCACGACACGGCCGACTCGCGACACCCACGAGCGCCACAACACTCTATCAGCCAGTTATCGATACCGGTTAGCACTCGCCGCAGAAAGATAGAGGTTTTGTCCGTCCGTTTGCTCAGTGTGGGAATGACGTGAATCAGGGCGGCAGCGATGCTCTGGAGAGTCCGTCGTGCTACCCCTTTGGCTGGATCAACAGCTACCCCCCCAACAGCCACGACTCGCGCACCAAATTCGGACACAACCTCCTCAGCAGACTCGCCACACGAATGTGGCCCAAGTAACTTACAATCAGACAGGGCACTATTGATCAGCGTCAGCCCGTGGCAAAATGCTGTCTGTGTTTGCTTGTCAGGTTCTTGAGTCTGCTGAATCTGTCTGCCGGCGAATGCAGCTACAGATGTGGATCGTGCCTGTGGGCCACAGATGGTACGGCGACTTGATGCGTCCAGTATCTTTGACACGTCACACCGTGTGTGGGTGGGTGGATGTGCAGAGGACAGCGTCAAGCTCTTGGAGGAGTCGATAAGGCTGTGTCGCGACGTCGACTACCGGTCCACCCAGGTGTCGCCCGTCGACCTCAAGGACCGCATCGGCAGCAAGGTGCGGCTCAACTCGGCCCGCCTGTGTGTGCATAACCCCGACGAGGCCACGGTGGACGCCGACGTGGTGGCCAACCGGTGTTTCCAGAAGGCCAAGGAGTGCGGGGCGACCGTCGTGAGGGCCCGAGCGCTGCGCATCATCATCGACAGCGACGGGGCCGTCAAGGGCGTCGAGACCAGCAAACACGAGGTCATCACCGCTGATGTCGTCGTCATTGCATCGGGTAAGGGAGGGAGGGAGGGAGGGAGGGAGGCATCTCGATGAACAGATCGACAGATGACATGGCAATATGGCCGATGTGTCGACTGTGTGTGTGCAGGTGTAGGCTCTGAGGCGTCTCGGCTGGCTTTGACGGCGGGTATTCGGCACATTCCCTTGATGCCTTGCTCTGACGTCATAGTTCGGGCACAGAGCGAGGACCCCGTCAACAAACCACTGCCCAGGTTGCTCAAGGACTGTGGATGCCTACAGGTGCATACACAACCACACACCTACACCTACACGATGGATGGATGGATGAATGGATGGATGGACGGCGGTTTTGCTGCTCGCTTGTGTTGATCAGAAATTCTGTCTTGGGACCGACGACGGCAGGGACCACAGGATTGAAAACTACCACCTCAGACAGGTAGGGGTGCACAAGGACGAATCGGACGCACCAACACGCCCTCTTACACGCGCTGCATGTGTGTATGTGTCTGTGTGTGTATCAGAAAGCTGACGGGAGCATTGTGATGGCCAGGATAGGTCGTGGCATGGATCGCAGCAGTGAATTTTTGGACGCCTCAATCGGCAGGCAGGACGGATCCGCCACATCCGCCAACATGGCACTCACACTTAGACGATCGTCCTCGGCCGGCGGCGGGGCGAGGATACGCTCTGCCATGAGCGCCACCTCGGTGCTGCCGCCCACAACGCCATCGCCAAAGCGGGCAGCCACCACCACGATGCAATCGGGCGGTTTCTCGCCACTGCAGCCAGGCTTCCGCCCCCTGGGTCCGTATTGCCGTCGTCACAGCACGTCAGGGGCCGGTTTCGGTCGGGGCGAGGCCAGGTGGGATGCGCCCAAGATGCAGCCACTGCACGAGGAGGAGGCGCAGGACTACTCGGTCAACGTCGTCTCGCCAAGCCTCCTGGTCAGCCAGCCAGTCAGCCTGTCAGTCAGCCTGGGTGGAGGTGTGGCTGCATGTATGTTGGCTCCGTGTGTCGTGTGTGTGTGTGTGCGCGCGTGTATCGAATGCAGGTTCATGATGAGCCCGAGATTCAGCACGTGGGGAGGCACGTCCTCGACACATGGTCAGAGGTAAGCGATCCACATACGCTGCGCAAGTTAGCAGCCGGGTGGCTTTTCTCTGGAGGGAGGGTGGCTGCACGTGTCTGTCTGTCTGGCCCTTGTGTGTCCGTTAGGACATCCCGGAGCTAAATCGAGAGGACCTTGCCTTATCGACGTGGATATGGGATCGGCCGCTCGTCGAGGATGGTAATGTAATGCACATTGGACGGACGGCGCCCGTTGCAGACACTTCATGTAAACCGCTGGCCCGTCTGTCTGTCTGTCTGTGTGTGTGTCTGTCAGGTTTGCCGATCATTGGGTGGAGCTCACACGTGACGAATCTGTACCTGGCCATCACCCAATCAGGCGTCACGCTCGCACCGGTCAGCATAGCTGCGGTGGCAAAGTGTCTGTTGTGTATGTCCATGTCTTCTTGTGGTGCAGGTGATCGGCAAGCTGGCCGCTCCGGAGATCCTGAGCGGCAGCACGGTAAAAGAGAAAGAGACGGCGGCACCAACAGGCACAATGCCCACACACCGCTCCGCTGTCGGTTGTCCTTCTCAACAGAGCAACGAGTTGCTGAGCCCGTATCGCATGACGCGTTTCGCGCAGAAATCATGACAATCGAGCCCGTCTGTGCTGGCCAAGAGTGCGCATGGTGCATGGAGGTGGGCAGTTGAGGTGGGCAGTTGGAGGGAGAGGGGATGGAGAGGCAGACAGACAGACAGACAGGCATGGGACGAGGGGGGCGTGTCTTGTATATGATGATGTGATGGGTTGGGTTGGGTTGGGTGACGGGACGCACAAGTGACATGTATTTTTGCCTTTCTGGCACGATGGTGCGGATGAAAGCATTGCACCGGGATACCCAATTTGCCGTCTGCCGCGCAACACAAACCGATAGGCCGACACCCCTGAACCTGGCCAGGAGGAGAACTGACAGGCAGGCAGCCGCTGTCATCACAATCACACTCCCTGTCCCTCAATGCAGCCACACAGACTATGGATACGTTATGATGCCTTACACTGTATAGCACACATCCTCAAGATACTTTCCAACCCTCCCAATGACCTACATTCTCCAGCGACAGACTCACATAATCATACAGCAAGGCCCACACGCATGTTTGTGTTTCTTTATGATCTCTAGGATCTCAGGCATTTCAGCCGCCATGTCCTCTGCCGTCTTCCCCTGTCACATAAGCAACCGTCGACAATCGACTCTGTGTGAATCTGTATGTGTGCACTTACAGCATTATTCTTCATCAACAAGAGAGACCTTCCACTCCACTCCAATCTGTCATGCAGAGAGAGACAGAGAGAGAGGGGGTGTGATCTTGAGCGTCGTTCCTGCATATCTCACAGCTTAGTCACAGCCGCAGCTTGGCCTCCTTCGACAGCCAAATGAAGTGCCGTGTTGCCATCCTGTGCATGTCATGCACAGGGAGAGCAACAAGCAGATGACAGGCATTCTGTGTGTACTGAAGTGTGTGTCTCTCACCTTGTCCACCTGTGTGCCAAGGCCTCTTCCCCCTTTGGGATGCATGACGTTCATCACATCGACATGACCAGAGTGGGCAGCCAAATGGAGTGGCGTGTAGCCCTCCTGCAATCAGCACCAGCACACAATCCACGTTATACATGAGGCGTCAGAGACAGATCTTCAACTCTCTTACATTGGTGCGTACATCCAGCACTTCTCGACCACCCCACTTCAACCTGTCATGCAGGGAGATAGAGGGAGAGAGGGTGTGCGTGGAATTCGTCCTTTCTGTCGTCCATCGGTGTTTCTCTCACAGCTGAGACACAGCGGCAGTGCGACCATCCCGGGCAGCGAAATGGAGCGCCGTCCAGCCACCCTGTGCGCGTCATACACACAATCAAGGGAAAGACAAACAAACAGATCAGAGACGGTCCATGTATGTTCACATGTGTGTCTCTTACATCTGTTTGCTGCATCAGTATCTTATTCCCCCCTTTGGCATGCATGGCCTTCATCACATCAACTTGACCATGCCCGGCAGCATTTATGAATGGCGTGACGCCGTACTGCAATCAGCACATGCATACAATCCACACAACGAGGCGGCAAAGCTATTCTCCCTTTGTACGTTGCTTCGTGCATCGAGCAGCTCGCCGTCCCACTCCAGCCTGACTTAGAGAGAAAGACGATGTGTGTGAATTCAAGTCACTCATCTCTGTCTCTCACAGCTGAGACACAGCGGCAGTGTGACCCCCCGGGGCAGCCATATGGAGTGCCGTGGAGCCACCCTGTGCGTGTCATACACACAATCAAGGGAAAGACAAACAAACAGATCAGAGACGGTCCATGTATGTTCACACGATGTGTGTCTCTTACATCTGTTTGCTGCATCAGTATCTTATTCCCCCCTTTGGCATGCATGGCCTTCATCACATCAACTTGACCAAAGTTGGCAGCAATTATGAATGGTGTGGAACCAAGCTGCGATCAGCACAATGCAACGCACGATGAGGTGTCAGAGACATATGTGTCTCACTAATTTCGTGTACGTTGTTGCGTGCATCGAGCAGCTCACGGCCTCCCCAGTTCAGCCTGACCCATGAAGAGAGAAAGAGGACTCGTGAGACGTTCACATGCGTCTCTCACAGCTGAGACACAGCGGATGTGTGACCCGTCTCAGCAGCCATATGGAGTGCCGTCCAGCCATTCTGTGCGTGTCATACACACAATCAAGGGAAAGACAAACAAACAGATCAGAGACGGTCCATGTATGTTCACATGATGTGTGTCTCTTTACATCCATTTGCTGCATCAGTATCTTATTTCCCCCTATGGCATGCATGGCCTTCATCACATCAACTCGACCATTCTGGGCAGCAATCATGAATGGCGTGTGGCCAGCCTGCGGTCAGCACATGAAGACAATCCACACAACGAGGCGGCAAACACAAACAATTGACACCAACAGACATCGAAAGTATGTCTATTCCTTTACCTTGAGACGTGCATAGAGCAGCTCGCTGCCGTTCACTTCAGCAGTTGAGACACAGCGGCACTGTGACCATTCTCGGCAGCCAAATGGAGAGCCGTCCAGCCGTTCTGCATTTCCATGAAGCCAGGATATCTCTTCATCACCAGCAACAAAATTGTCCAGTTGTGTTAGTACATCTTTTGTTTGCTGCAGGATCGATGGCCCGTATCGATCATAGCATACCGACATGATGCCAACGCGACCTTCACGTGCAGCGCAGATGAAGGGTGTGTTCTGAGGGCCAAACAGAAGACTACTGACCGTCTTTCCCCTCCACCACTGCATACCTCGTTGTTGTCTCGTCTGTCGAGTACTTTGATGCCGTGCATCTCAATGAGCCGATTGACGGACTGCACATCATCCGTCCGCACGGCCTCAAAGATGAAGGATGCTGCACGCACACAAAAGGGTATAGAGGATTGTGTTTTGCCTCTGTTTGTGCCTACCCTGAGATGAACGCTGGTACTTCTGTATGGTCTTCATCACTTCAGACTTACCTGCCTGGGCTGCTACCTCGAACGGTGTCTTGTTGTACTGCAATCAACGCACATGAAATCGACGTAAGGATGTTTCACACATGCACATGTACAATCTTACCCATGGCGCTGCGGTGGTGTTACGTGCATCAAGCAGTTCAGGGCCCCACTTCAGCAGCTGATCGACAGCCCCAACCGCGCCAGTGAACGCAGCATGGTGCAGCGCAGTGTTAAAATTCTGCACCCCAAATGCAGGACATCTACTCATGTCAAGCCGTAGGCCTTCGGTTGTGCCGTACGATGTCTGATTGATGCAGAATTGCTCGGCCACGTTACCCGCGTGTGCAGCCACGAGGAAGGGTGTTACCCTCGCCCCATCTTCAACAAGTTGCCCTTCTGTGTCAAGTATTTCTGGGCCATGTTTGTCGATGAGGTCGCTGACAGTCTGCGCACCGTTCGCCTTCACAGCCTTGAATATGGGTAGCTGCAGACAAAACTCCAGCAATGACAACACACACATCGTCAGAGTCTCTGAGATTTTCCCACCATTGCTGCGCGCCGCAGAGAGAGTTACACCGGAACGCCACGCGCATGCATGCAGGGCCCGGGGGCGATCGACTGCCGCCCCCACCCCGCAGCACCGAAGATGTCTGTCACCTTGCCTGCTTGGGAGATATGGGGCGCCAAGGGGCGCATGACGTCATATGGAGGCCAGCACTTTTGCTTCGCAGCCGAGGACTCATTGCTGTTTGCTGCTGGCAGTACCCTCTTCACACTCGACCTCGACAGCGGCGAAACCGAGCCTCTCATCACTAACCCGCGCGGCATTGCGGCCTTCGCCGGCAACCCCAGAAGGCGACTCGTGGCTTATGCTGACCAGGGACCCGAGCCAGCCATTCACGTGCTGCGTTCCACTGACAAGACCCTTCAGTTCCGCTTTGAAGGGGCGGCGGAGTTGGACCTCGCTGACTTGACCTTCTCGCGATGCGGCACGCGGCTATATGCGGCATCGCGGTCGACTCGGGTGCGGCTGACCATCTACAGCATGCAGACGGGGGGGCTGATCCAGGGTGGGGAGCTGGAGCTGCCGCAGCGCATCGACACCATCTCGGTGGACCCCCTCAACAAGGACTCGCTTGCACTGGTGTCGTTCAACAATGTCCGCATCCTCACCATCACGCCATCATTCGAGGCACACATCCTCACACTGAGACCTCCATCTCTGCCACTAGAGGAGCAGCCGGGCGGCGCCAAGGGCGGGGAGGACAGTACGGGCCACACCAACCCCTTCGGCCGGGTGGGCGGCACGTGCTGGACGGCTACGCACAAGCTGCTGGTGTGGACAAAGGCGGCTGTACTCGTGACTATCGACGGCAACACAGGCGAGACACTCCACGCTTGCCGAGCCAATCACTTCGACGCGTTCCACGGCCTCATAGTCACCCGGTCCCACCTCCTCACCTGCCACTCTGGGCAATGCCAGGAGCCCAAGCCAGCTCTTCTCTACCCGACAGAAGAGGACGAGAGCCCCCGAACTGTCGGTTCGAAGCGGAGCAACCAAGCCCCTGGTTTCTCGTCGAGCATGTCGCAGGGGGGCATGTCGCATCGCAGCGGGAGCGGGCAGGAGGGACAGCAGCCAGAGTACCCCGACGGGCCGTCCATCCAGTTCTGGAAGTATCACGAGGAGGCTTTGGCCACTAGTGGGGTCAGCATGGACGGCGTGACGATATCGGCGCTGTCAGCGATGGACCCTGAGCATGAGGAAGAGCAGAGGGGCGGCGCTGTGGACGGCGTCAGCACCATCGCAAGCCCACAAATCGGAGGGCCCAAGATACTCCCCTCAGCCACAAGTAAGTCAATCAAGAGGAGAGAGACACGGCGTAACGAATCATGCCGTAATTCTTTGTTGCATTCATTCTGCTCAGCGATGCATCCTCTGTCTGGCGCAGCCCCCCCTCTCTATTCTCTGCGCCGCATCGGCTCCATCAGGGCCACCAATGCATTCGGCAGCAACACTGCCATGCTTAGCCAGGAGGAGGGAGCCGTTGAGCAGCCACAGGCCGCCGACGACATCTCCGGCTCCTTCTTGCTGCCCACCGCTGTGCGTTTGGTGGGCTGCGACCCGCGCTACTCGCATTGTCTCATCCTCACAACTGACGGGACACTCTGGCGTGGCGACCTGGGCATCCGGGGGGCGCATGAAGGCGGGGGATCGCCAATGGTCAGTAGGGAGGGGCAGGGTATCGTGATGATGGATGCCATCCATGGATGTGGGGATGGTTGTATGTGTGTTTGCATTGCATAGGGCCGTGGTGAGTCGAGAATAGAGGACGAGGAGGACGAGGAGGAGGTGCGGTACGACGGCTACACACTGCGCATCTGCTCGGTCGGGCAGAGACACTACGTGGTGGGAGGCGGCTTCCTCACCGGCACACACAGGGCGGTCACTGTCGACCATGGAGGACATGTCAGGTGCTGATGAATGGATGGATGGTGTCACCGCACGAAAAAATACCCCTGAATCCCTCTCCGGTGTCTGTGTGTTTTGTTCAGGTTATGGGACGCACCTGTCCGCAACGGCTCCCATCACATCAGCGAATGTGAGAGGAACAGTCAGCAGAGCCTTCAATCTCACATCCACCCTTTTCTCTGTCTCTGTCTCTCTCTCTGTCTCTGTCTCTGTGTATCAGACCCACTGTGTCTAAGCCAGTTGATTCTGCCGACTATCCCCACGTGTGCCGTCCTCCGTCGGAAAGGTAGCTTCGCCTTCATTGGCTCCTCCGGCGGTGTGCTGAGATGGCTGGACCTCCGCGACCCGATGGACCCACATGTGGCAACGGAAATCAAGTACGCTGCACATCATTGAGTATAGTGACATTTCTTAGTGAATGTGGTATCCTCTTTCAGAATAAGCGAGGGTGAGATATGCCAGTTGTCCGAGTGCCCCTTCCCTCCTGCTCCAGCCACCGCGGCAGCCGACTCACCACCACCCCCTGAGGAGGCCACCGAGCCCCCCAGTCAGTGGGCGGTGCTGCTGGCCACCCACCACCTGGGCTTCATCATCACGCCACCGCCACGCAGCCCTCCCGCATCCAAGAACGAGTCGAGCGGGGAGGACGACCAGGAGGATGACGCAGAGGGGGGCGATGCTGAGTCCGGGGAAGGAGGTGAGAATGACGCCGATGTGGAGCTGACGTTCCAGGGGATGGTGGGTCTGCCGTGTGTGGGGGGCGAGCCGTCGGTGACGTGCGGGCCTGAGTGGGCTGTTGGGCCGGTGGGGGAGCGTGTGGTGTTACTTGGAGGAGTCATGAACCGCAAGGATGAGGGGCTGCAGGAGGGATACCTGCTCACCGTGCAGGTACATGGTGGGGGGGCGGGGACAACAGCGATCGGCCGTTCTGCATGCGTCTTGCCATCCTCCAATCAGGCTCCGGACTACCACTTCCTTCCCGCAGACAATCTGCTAGACAGAAAGGTACCCCACACCGCCACAAAGACATCCAAAAGGGGTGGGTGAGGCAATGTGTCTCTGTGTCTCACTCCAGAGTGTGGAACTGAGGAGTGGCGGCCTGCCCTTCCAGCCCATGTGTGTGTGCGTCAACAACGTCAACGCACCCGCACGAGATTGCGTCGTGGGCCTGCAATCGGGGGATGTCATCCTCTGCCAGCTCCCCGACCAACAGGCAAGAAATACATACACACGGACATCTCATTAATCTCTTTTTTCCCTCTTCTCATTGGTCCAGGGCGGACCGTCAGGTGCCTCCCCCTCTGTGTCCTACCAGTCCCTCTACCGCCACTCACACCCCGTCACCGCGCTGTGCATCACTGCCGGGCCAGTCGACTCACGGCTTCTCTGCTCGGCGTGCATGGGGGGCGAGATCACCGTCTCCGCGTTCCCACTCAAAGGCGATGTCAATGCCTCCCAGTCGTCCACTCTGTCGGCTCCTCTGACGTTCTTCTCGTGTCTCTCGGGGGGCGTGGAGCTGCTCAGGCTGTCAGATTCGGGCGCCCTGGGGCTTTGCTCTAGTGGTACGGAGGGCCTGGTGTGGTGGGGGTGCCCCCTGAGGGAATACAAGCCGCCCGCCCAGGCAGACAGCAATGAGCCGCCACAGGTCACCCTCGATGTGCCGCCGGTAAGCGTGAGGGGGCGAGCGAACGCACCATGCATCTTTGCCATCGTTGCCATGTGTCTCGTTCGATGTGCTGCGCTCGGTCGGTAGAAGTGCGGTTTGCCCGACTCTGAGGTGACTGTGTGGAGCCCTTTGCCGACCGAGGTGGTGCGCAGCCGCCTGCAGACTGCGGATGAGCAGGCAGAGGCCGAGAAAGTCAGGAAGACGATCATCGGTGAGATGGAGCTGCTCAGGAAGAAGCTCAGGACACTCATCGACAACAACGAGGTCAGCTAGACCACACAGACGTAAATCATCTACCTCACTTCTCTCTGCTTGCGCATCTGTACAGGGCAGTGCTGACCTGGAGCGTCTGCATCGGCCGGTGTTTTGCGTCGACGAGGAGAAGGTGAACGCGCTGGAGAGTGCGGCCCAGGCGGAGTGCAATACCGTCAAGGCGCAGATCGAGTCTGAGAATGCGGGCCGTCGTCTGCTGCGTCAGCGGCTGATAGAGGAGTTCTGGGACACCATGCAGGTGCCGGGGCAGGCCATCGTCGGGTTCACGTCTGACCTCATGGGTAAGCCAGACATACAAACGAATCGACACTGGCACTATGCAATGCTGGGCGTATTTGTGTCTCATCAGTCCACAACTTTCCGCTCCGTCGTCAGCAGCCGGCCGCAGAGGGACTCGAAAAGAAACTCAAATTCCTCAGGTCATGTCAGCCCAGTGCATGTCTGTCTTGTGGTGCACCCCTTGTCTCCATCTCCATCTGTTGTGTTATGCATCCATCCATCAGACATCTCGAGAAGAAGGAGGAGAAGTGGCTGTGTTCGCCCATGGACACGGCACTGCCTCACCTCAAGGACCAGGACATGCTCCTGGACCTGCACCTTGTCACGTCTCATGATGTCAGCCAGCTGCGGACGGCTGCATACACACAGTCAATGCATCCATCTGTGTCGCGTGCCCTGACTGACAGGAGAAGTATTTGGTCAACTGGCGGCCTCGTGACCTGATTGGCGCCCCCGAGGCGCAGGTGACCGATGCCGCCAAGGGAGAGTCGTCGCCCTCAGCCAAGACAGCCGAAGGGGAGGAGGAAGCAGAAGCCGACAGCAGCCCTGGTGAGCAATGACTGTTTGATTGCACCACACCCCAACACCCCACACCCCACGTGTTTCTATCTTTGCCTGGCAGTTGGTGCATCTCGTGCCATGTCGACCAAGAGTCTGGCCACGACCGTGGCTGGTGGGGAGGGCGGCAAGGGAGACGACGACAAGCAGGTCCAGGGGTTCCTCTACGCACCTTTCGAGCTGCTCACCGACACCAGGCGACGTCTGCAGTGCTACCTGCTGCAGACCAGGGCAAACGAGGTCCGGACATACACACAAACAGAGATTGGCGTCCTCCATTGTGTGCTCCGTGTTGTACTGGTCAGCTTCGTCGCGCCTTCAACCAGGAGTTTGCGTCTCTCCTGCAGCACAAGCACACCGTCCTCGACCACATCCACGAGCGCCTCGACAAGCTCCGCAAGATCCTGCAGGAGCTCCAGACACCCACCCAAGACGCTGCCGCGACCGCTGACGACGCCCAGGCCACCCCCGCCCCTCCACCGGCCCCCCTGATAGAGCTGCCGACCCCGCAGCCGTCGAAGGAGGAGAGTCCCGAGTCGGTGCTCAAGGTGGAGGACAGCGAGGTGCAGATAGAGAAGTACGTGTCCAGGCAGGAGCAGGAGCGGCTCAGAAAGGAGAGGGAGGCGGCCGACGCGAAGCTCAAGGAGATGCAGAAGGACGACAGCGGGGCGAGGGCGCTCGGCCAGATGATGGGCGGCGTGCTCAAGACCAAGAAGGACCTCACCATACTCGAGATTCGCATCGAACGGTCGGTCGGTCGCGTGCCACACAACAGATTGAGACACACATCCACCATTCATTCGATGGGTGTGTGTTTTTGTGATGTGCTTGTGCAGTGAGGACTGGATGGACACCGTGCCGTTTGACCAGATGAGTGACGCGCAGAAGGCGGCGATGAAGGAGTTCGAGCAGAAGGAGAAGGACCTCCTGGAGGAACAAGACAAATACAGAAAACAACTCGACGTCGACCTCAAGAAAATCAAGTCAACCAGCCAACCAGCCAACCAGCCAACCAACCAACCAGCCAATACACACACTCGCCCCCTTACTCTCTCTCTGTGTGTCTGCAGGACCGAGGTGACGGACCTGATGGTCCAGTTCGACTCCAAACTGAGAGAACTCCTGCACGCAAGGTACGTTGGCTTGGCTGGCAAATAGACAGACACATCAAGCGAGAGGCACAAGCCAAGTGGGTGTTTGTGATGGATGATGCATGTGCAGGCACCTGACAGAGCTGGAGATCTGCAAGCAGGAGCTGTACGCCTGCCGGCTGTATCTGTTCCTGCTGCAGCAGGAGCAGGACGCGCAGCTCACACACTCGCTCACCCAGCAGCTGCAGCACAAGACACACGACTACCACGCTGCCAAGAAAAGAGCCGAGGAGTTCCACGCACAAGTCAGCCAGCCACTGAGAAAACAGCGACACTCAGACAGCTGTGTCTCACACTCTCTCTGTGTCTCTGTGTGCCTGTGATAGGTGGAGGTTGCTGAACATGAGGCGTCTGAGCTGGTTCACGCGGAGAGGGAGCTGGGTGTGTCGTTCCGTCAGCACATGTACCCATTCGGCGTCGACGGCGAACAGATGGCCGCACTCATCAAACTATTCAGACACAAGTCAGTCAGTCAGTCAGTCAGACAACTCAACCGACACAACAACATCACAAGGCCGAAAGATTCGTTGGTTGCCTCGTTCCCTCCCTCAGGGGTTTGCCTCCGTCCAAGGCCGAGCAGCAGGCGCCTCCCGCCGCAGGCGGGATCAAACGGACGTTCAGCCGGGCGGGCTCACAGGGACAGTTCTCACAGGACGGCGCTGAGGGAGCCACACTCGACCCATACAGTGAGCGACCGAGCGAATGCGAACACACATCACCAATAGCAGGAAATCTCTCTCTCTCTCTTTCTCTCTCTCTCTCTCTGTGTGTGTGTGTGTGTGTGTGTGGAGGCAGTTGAGACGGGTGATGATGTGGCTGCTGGTGGCCCCGCGCTGCGCAAGGCGCCGACCATGGCGTCCAAGGGCCCTTCAGAGAAATCCAAGACACAGCAGGAACAGGAATTCCACCACCTCATCTACCCCGACGTACCGACACACACATACACATACATTCATAGGAAATGACACCGCCCCCGAGTGTGCGTGTCCCATGCCACAGGACTGTCCGCATGGTGTGAGTGAGGAGGCCTTCGACAAGATGAACGAGCTCAGGGAGGAAAGGTATCGGCTGGAGCAGCTTCTCAACCAGGCCCATGCCAAGCTGGAACAGATGAGGGCCTACGCACAACATCTGCACGAGGTGCGCCAAAGACAGATCTACTATATAGCTACTCCAACTCTCTATGTCCCTCCCTCTCTGTGTGTGCCAGCGTGTGTCTGCAAGCCACAAAGACATATACGAGACGGAGACGCGGCTGCACGACCACATGGATTCCATCCAAAACGAGCACTACGACCTGGAGCTGCTGCTGCAGCTGAAACAGGGACAAGTGGAGGTGCCGCAGGCGCCTGTCGTGACGGACTACAGCGACGCCATTGTGGTGCCCAAACACACAGTCGAAGACAAGAACGCCATGGTCCTCGAGCTCGGCAAAGAGAAAACCAACACACTCAACGCCATCAAAGTCAGCTCACCCTCCACACAGGACAGCCAAACCCATGTACTCACCGCCTGTCTCTCAGGACTTCCGGCGTCGGCTGATATTGCTGGAGTGGGAGCACCGGCTGCTAGCCCTGCAGGCGTCAGACTTCGAGGAGCGCACCAAGGACGTCCACATGCTCAGAGTCACCAAAGACCTCCAGTCCGTCCTAGCACTCGCACTGAGGGGTCCATCCGGCGGTGGCGGCAGTGGCGGGACCGGCGAGACCATGGCGGTAGGAGACAGCCGGCAGGCGGCGGCAGCCGAGCTGCTGGAGAGGAAGATGGAGCATTTGGCGCAGTCACTCAAGGCCAAGACGCAAAACTTCAAGAGGCAATTCCAAAGCGTCAGGGCGCAAATCGCCACCAGGGTGAGGGATGGAGTGGAGACACAAACACCCTTGTGCACCTAACCTCACCGCATTGTCAGTCGTCCGAGAATGCGCTCCTTGAAGAGAAGCTGCGGGACCTGCGGCAGGGGGTATGCAGAACAACAAGCCGATTGATCGCTCGAGAGACACCCCTGCATGTCTCTGTGTGCGTCTGCGCAGGTAAAGCAGCGTGAGCACATCCGTCGCATCAAGGCCACCACGTCTGCCCCGACCAAGCCCCAGGCGCCCCCCGCAGCAGCTGAGGGTGAGAAGCCGCAAGTCGGCGCCGGCAAGGCAGGGCGTGACGAGGGTGAGATTCGGTTCAAGGAGGTGCAGCAGCGGACGCACCTTCTGGAGCTCGTGAAGAGACACACGAAGGAGATTGAACTGCTCAGAAAGGAACTTGATCGACTCAGGTGGGGTGGGTCAGCTTAAGGCAAACCCCCTCCCTCCCTACCGTCTCGCTCTCTTGTGCGCTGCGCTTCTGTGTGGTGAATGAAATTTGCAGGCAGAGGACGTTCCCGACGTTTGTGCATCTGTACCAGTCTCACCCTGCGAACCCTGATGCGTCATCAGGCATGGCTTAAGGTGCTGGTCAGTCAATTCAGGTATGTTGGTGCTCTTTGCTGGCAGAGCAGGTCGATTACAACTAACTGGTCCAGTGCAGTGCGTGTGTTTCGATGTCCTTATGCATGTGATGTCTGTCTGTATTCGGACGCATTTGTCCATCGGGATCGCTGTGTTTACACACAGCTGTCCTGTCTGGAACACTCACCTCATAGACACCACTGACCTCTAAGTATACACACAAGCGTCTCACTGTACCACACCCCATCTATCTCTATCACACATAGACAAAGATGCTCACACTCGTCTTCTCTCTCTGGCTCTGGGCGGCCTGACTTTGGGCAGCCGTGGCATGTGCAGCAGGCCCGTCACGGTGAGGCCCTGTGCGTGGAACGTCTGCAGGCACGTGTCCACCTTCATCACTCGCCGGAACTTGACGTCCACGTGTGTTATGCCCAGCCGCTTGCACTTGCGCGCTATGTTCTGTGCGATGCGCTCCGTGCACGCCGGCGACTGGTGGGCGGCCCCCCGGTACCCCACGTTGCCGGCGTGAGACGTGAAGATAATGCGGTAGTTGCGCGACTTGTTCAGCACCTGCCGACACACACACACTTGACACACACTGGCTGGGGGATGGAGGGAGTCCCTCCCTCAGCCAGGCAGTACACGTACGTACGTTGATCCAGCAGTTGTTTTTGGATGAGGTGATGACGACTTGGAATTTGTCGGTTGGCTCGCAAATGTGGCCGTTCTTGTTGCGCTCGACGTTGTGGAACTCTGGACGGTCTCCTGACACACCCACACACACCGACAAGAGGGCAAATACACACACACGAACACACACACACACTCCACTGCCGCTGCCTGATGCCTGACGATGTCCATGCATGAGTGGCTGAACTGACCTATGAGTCTGTACTTGCGCGGGTTGCCTTGCAGCTTTCGCAAGTCGGCCTTTGTAAGCTGCACCTTCTTGCGCGTCTTCTGCACTGACTCGCCAATGTCGTTCAGCGCCTCCTCTGCACAGCACACACATCACACACATCACATGCGATGACAACATCAATCACAGCCACAGAGGTCTTGACCGATGTCCCTGACGCACCGACCCACCCCACCTGCAGCATCCGACAATCGTGTGGTGCCGGGCCCGAAAGCTTCACTGGTGCTGGTGCTGGCCGATGATGCATCAGCAGCAGCAGTAGCAGCCTCGGAGAAGGGGCGCCGCTGTCGCAGGAGGGCTGCACTCATCATCCATGATCTCGTTCTTGCCAGATGGCCGTCAAGGCAGTGACATGCAGCCACTCTGGGCCAAGGAAAGCCTCTCAAACACGCCATTCTGCCTTCCACTTGAGGGCAGCTCGCACTGCGAGCTCAGTTTGCAGAGGGACACAGAAGCCTTGAGTGAAGGCCAGCAGGATGAAGCGGCTTCTGGCCCGGATCCTTCCCGCCGCGCAGCACTCGGTGGCGAAGGCGCCTTCACTGGCGCCCAAGGGCAGCCAGGTGCTCACGAGGCGGACGTACCAGCAGATCCCGATCCAATCAGACACCTATTGGGGTACGGTACGCAGCCATCCAACGTGGACAGATGGACAGATGATGCAGTCCATCTATTGACTCACCTGGTGTCCTTGTGTGTGGTGCTTTGTGTGCAGCGACGAGTGGCGCTCTCAGGCTGGAGGTGGGCTGGGCCACGCACCCTTGTTGCACTCTGCAGTGCAGTGCACTGCGTCGTTGTCAGTCAGGCGCATTCGTGTGGGAGTGTGTTGTGTTGTTTGCTGCGTGTTGTGGTGCCCTCCTGGCTGCAGAAGAAGACGCCAAGCTACGACGATTCTGCCATTCAGGAGTGGAAGGACCAGTTCCCCCATCTCAAGGACTACAGCGCGGCTGACCTCATGGAGTGGAGGCGAGCGGTGAGCCACACCGCTACACACACACACACACACACACAGACACAGACACGCACTCAAGCGTGTGTTTGTAAATCAGTTCGATTCGTTTGACGTGGACAACGACGGGTTCATAAGCCAGGCTGACCTGCAGAAGGACCCCTCCTTCACGGTGGAGAAGATCCACCTTCTCAAGGAGTACGACAGGGACAAGAACGCTCTCATCGACTTCGGCGAGTTCGTAGAGGCCATGATGGCCATCGACATGACCTCACTCAGGGACTCATTCGCAGGATTCGACGTAAGCGCTTAAGCGAAGAGAGAGAGAGGTCGCACCCAACCCACACACGCATTCAGTGTCGTTGGTCGGTTTTCGTGCAGCCGTCTGATGTGATCCTTGAGTTTGACCGTTATTCGGTGACCCCTGACGGCTCCCAGCGAGGTCGGCGCATCACGCTGGACGGCGTGAAGCACGTGATGCGCGAGCACGACTTCTCGGTGGTGTGCGACCACGACGCGAGGAAGCTGTTCAGCCACATGGACATCAACGGGGACAACGAGATTGACTTCGAGGACTTCAAACAATGGCTAAAACACTGAGGAGGAATGAGAGAATGGCGACAGGCTGTCGGCCGTGTGCTTGGTCGACTCCCTTATTATTTTTGGCGTGTCTGTCTGTCGAGAGAAAGGGGCGCCGCACTGATCTGAATGTGTGTGTGTGTGGGAGTGATATGTGGCCGTGCTACTTTTTGCTGGCACCCACAGATGGGACACATGCTGTGTCCGTTGTGAGTTGGTGTGTGTGTGTGTTTGTATTTGCCGAGGGTGCGGTGCGTTGCGTTGCGTTGTTGGTGCATTTATTACATGTTGATGCATTGCAATCGAGAGAAGAGAAGAGAAGAGGTGCCTTCCCTTGGCTTCCAGCTTTATGACTGACACGTAGGGGTGCATGGGATGGAGGGGTTGGGTGGAACTGAACTGTCTGTCTGTCATGACATACGCCTGTGTGTGACGTGGACCATCCATTCATGCAAGCATGCAAGCAAGACATGCAATCAATGCATGCACTGGGGGTGAATAATGTCCATCCATCCATCCATCCGGCGCACACACACACGTATGTATGCGTAACAACCAACATCGATCAATCGAGTCGATGAGTGTCAACCAACCAACCAAGGAAGGAACCAATGAACCAATGAGTCAGCAATCGATCACATCACATCACACGGCGGCCGACATGGGTGCACCACGCACCCAACGCACCAAGGGCTCTTGCAGGTGTGATAATAATGAGTATGTATGTAGGTATGTATGTATGTAGGTATGGGTACCAATGCGCAGCACAGCGCTGCTCGCTCTCGCAGGCAGAACACACACGAGTGAGTCACTGAGTAAGCGGCTCTCACACCAACCAGCCATCCAACCATCCATCCATATTTCCTGCCGGCAAGGCAAGACAGCAGACACACATACAAGCAGGGGAGGCACCACAGGCAGGCAGGCAGCCGAGCGAGCAAGCGAACAAGACAGCCAGACGTGAGAGCGAGGAGGTGAAAGGAAAGAGCCAGCCAGCCTGCCAGCCAGGCGTTCGATCGAAGCGTCCATCCGCAGCTATACAGACATACACACACAGAATGAGCGGGCAGCATGGCACGGCGCGGCATCTGTGGATGATGAAGTGGCGTGGATGGGGTGAATGGAAATAGATGCACAGGTGGGTGTGGGTGTGGGTGGTGGGGGGTGAGAGTGACGGGGGAGAGAGCAGCCCCTTCGGGGACCAGACAGACAGACAGCAGCCAGTGAAAATCAATCAATCAATCAACCAACCAGCCATCCCATAATGTGGAGAGCACCAAAAAGTTCTACCAAGCCATAAATTGTGTGGATCCCCCTCCCCCTCTCTCTACCGGGGGTCTCCCTGCGTGTGTATGTGCGTGTGGTGTATGTTGGTACGAACGAGTGAATCAATGAGCCCCCAGAGACAACGAATGCATCCACACAGCTGGAGAGCGTGCTTGGGAAGGGAAGACAGAGATACGGAAAAAACGTCGGCAGCTGCTGCCACCCCAGTGAGTGCGTGGCCAGCCCGCCGACTCGTGTGGGTGCGGTGCGATCGGTGTGTCCATCCATCCATTCATCCATCCACGCTGCGTATGCACTCGTTCGTACATGCATCCAACCAACCAACCGCCCAACCGAGGACGGGACGGAGGCTGTGCTGTGGGGATAAATATTACACGCACGCACGCACCAGACAGAATGCAAACGAAGCCATCCATCCATCCATCCATCCATCCATGAAGCAGACTATCGGTCATGCACACACGGACGCCGCTGCTTCCCCCCTCCCCCCCCTCCCTCCCTCCCCATGTGTGTGGGCATCCCATCCACCCACCCACCCACCCAGCCCCACCACTAGGTGAAAAAACAGGAACTGATGAAAGCAAGACAGCGACAGATAGACAGCCAGGCAGCTGCAGACACGTGTACGTATGTATGCACGCATCTCACCCCACCCCAGTTTTCACGCAGCCTCCTCTGGCACTCCGACAGACTGACTGACTGACTGACGCGCGTGAGTGTGCGCGTGACGGTGCGTGTCGGTATGTATGGTTTGTAGGGCTCGCTCACTCACTCACTCACAAAACACAGCCGGCCGGCGATGCACACATGCCATGCATGGCCATCCGTGCAGGCATGTGCACATGGCAGCTTGGGAAAAATGACCGCTGGGCAGAGGAAGAGGAGATGAGCAAGCCAAGACAGACAGACACCCACGCGAGCAGATCGGTCGATCGGTCGGCCGGTCGGTCAGAAGAGGGAGCCGTGCTAATGACATAAAACGCCGCTTGTGGATGTGTGTATGGTGTGTATGTACGTGTGTGTGTGTGGTTGAACTAGCCATCACCAGGCCACTGAGCCAGGTCACGTCACGCCATGCCACGCAAGCAGACACAAGAACAAGGTCCGCCAATTCACTAGTTAGGCAGTCGGCCACCCAAGCAGTCAGTCAATCAGCCAATCGTTCAGGTAGTCAGTCAGTTAGTGGAACCACACACAGCAAGTGGGCCTCTCGCTCTCTCGCTCGCTCTCTTTCTCTTTCTCGCCCTCGCTCTCTCTCTCGTACGTCATCAGCGTTAGGGTCCGGACAACATGTACACATAGCACATAACACAGAGCGTCAACACCGGCAGGCAGGCAGGCAGCACACATACACCGCACCACGGGCAGAAAAATGTGATGAAGCATCCAGGAAGGAACAACCAAGCAGCCATCCATCGGACCATCCATCCATCCATCCATCCAGAGAGGCGCCCCGTCCCGTCCCGTACGTAAAAAAGCCGTGTCAGCTAATGTCGGCAGGGCAGGAGGGCCACCCCACCAATCCACCCACCGTATGTGTGTGTATGAATGTTATGTGTGCTGAGTGTGTGCCGAGAGACCGCTGTGTGGGCGGGGCGGCCGACAGCCATACAGACAGACAGGCGGACCAGAAATAGGCTATATATCGATCAATGTGTATGTGTGTTGGGAGGGGGCCGGGCCAACGATTGAATGAATTGCCTCACTCTCTGATCGGCTGGCGGCTGGCTGATACAGAGGCAGGCAAGAGAAGCGAAGGAAAACGCAAAGGAACCTTCTGACTGACTGACTGACTGGTCGTCTCGCCATCCACGCCAAGCCGCAGCCACCACTCAAACCGCTCTGGAGCTCCCTCCCTCCCTCCCTCGCTTGCATGCTTGCTGTGTCTCTCTCTTGGCGCGCACAAACACACACACACATACATACACACGGACACTGTGACTGACGCCATCCATGGATGTGATCTCAGCACACGGAACGTATAGGTGAAAAAGAGGCAGGCATGCAGCTGCCAACCCAACCGACCGATCAACCGATCGGCCGACAGTGAGTGCATTGTATAACATGGGGGGGTTGAGTCAGGCAGGCAGGCAGGCAGCGGTTGGTTGGGGGAGAGTTCAGTTGAGCCAGCAGAGCAGAGCAAGCCAGGACATCACACACATTACTGACTGACTGACATTGATCGACAGACTGACTCACACGTCTCGTCTTGTCCCTGCCTGTGTGTCCTGGCTTGCTCGCTTGCTTGCTGCATCCGTTGAAGACAGACAGACAGACAGACACCCACACATACACCACACCCACACACGTGTGTATGTTATGTAGGTCATGAATGCCAACCGACCGACCGACCGATCGGTGGACCGATCCCCAATGTGGGCCGACAGACAGACAAACAGACAGACAGAGCAAGAAACAAACGACCCGACACACATCATGATGATGCAGGCATGTGCGTGAGTGAGCGGATCAAGCAAAGAAACAACAACAACAACCACGACAACAAGAGTCAGTGAGTGAGTCTGCCGGATCAGCCAGCAGCAAGACAGCAAGACAGTGAGTGAGTGAGCGTTGACGTGACGTAGCCGTACATATGATTTATATGGAAAAAGTTACGTGAGTGGACGGAGGCACGGACCAACCAACCGACGAGCGAACGGACCGACATCAGCCTCCCAGTGCCTTCAAACCCAGTGGTCCCGCGGCCCGGATGCATCAGCACTGTGAGCCTGGATCAGTCAGTCCACAGCGCAGCTACACCGGCAACATGGAACACCCAGGCATGAAAACACGGCAGCCGTCACGACAACAACAATAGTCAGACTGGCATGGCATCGACCGTTGTCATTTACACGCACACTCACACGTGTGGACACAGACAGACAGACATAGCGATACGCGCGCATACACATGGCCGGCCGGCAATGGCATGGCAGACAAGACAGCAAGCCTGGGAGTCAGGTCAGTAACTTGTGGTGACTGGGTGGCTGGGCTGGGCGGGCGAAGTGCTCAGATTGTGTCCATTATCCGTCCATCAGGTCATTGTGTATGTCTATCTGTCATTGTGTATGTTGGCCGGGTGGGGTGGCCGCTGGTCTTGCTCTGGGGTGCTACAGAGCCCCGTGCAAGCCTCACCGAATGCCCCTCTGCTGTAGGAACCCGGTGCGCCTCGCACGCAGCAATGACACATCCCAGAACACGACTAGCCAGCCAGTTGTACGTGAGAATCTCTGCCTGGCTACGCTGCGCTACGAGCTAGTCAAGTCATGTCAGTGAGTGAGGCCGAAGTGTATAATCCATCGGAGCCGCACTGGGTGGACGTGCTCATTTTAGTGTAGCGCAGCCACGCACACATCGGTCAGACAGTCGGGCAGTCAGTCGGTCGAGTCGTCGCCCCTTGGTTCGTTGGTCTCACTCACCACACCGTCCCCACGTCACTTCACACCACCACGCCCCGCCAGGCCACGCCACGCAGTCTTCTGCCTGTGTGTGTTGCTCTGCTCCCCTTTCCTTCCCCTGCGTGTGTGTGTGTGTATGGCGACAGACATTGGGAGTGCGAATACAGCGCGCGGACATTCACAGCGGAGAGAGAAACACAGCGATGGACACACGGACAGACACTGATGTGTGGTATGTGTGTATGTATTGTTAGGTATTGCTATGGTCTTACGACACGACGACAGACAAATCGGGGTCACAGACAGACAGACAGTCAGTCAGTCAGTGGGCCAGAGAGAGAGTGAGTGAGTGGAAAGGATAGGATAACACACATACACACATTACAAATACGCGTACGCACAGCCACACACAACAGCAAGTGGGTCTGGTCTGGTCTCATGAAGGAGGAAGGAATTAAGGCTCACACACATACACACACACATGCACATGCATGCACAACAGCATTGCACATCGTGGGTGGCACAATCAATGGTCAATCAATCAATCGATCGATCGGCCGATCGATCGAGTCGGTCATGCAGTCAGTGGCCGGCGAGTCAGATAGTGGACCTCACCCACACAGACAGACAAGACAGACAGACAGACAGACGGACCCCTCAGTGCGCTCCCCCCCCTCCCTCCCTCTCCCTCTTCCCCCCCGCCCCCCGGTCTCTCTATCTTTCCTCCTCCTTTTCCTCCTGTGTTCTGCTCCAGACAGCGTAGCTGTTGCTCGAGCAGAAAGCAGACATACATGCTTTCACGCACACACATCTCTCCCACGCTCTCGCTAGCTAACACACTCGCTCGTACCAATACACACATACCAACCAACCAACCGGCCCCACACAACAGAGACAGACAGAGCGAAAACAGCCCCGAGGTCGACCGAGGAGGCCCATAGAAGAAAGGACAGAGACGGACAGACGGAGATGGATGGATGGATGGATGGGTTTGGGCGGAAAAGGAACCCAGAATGGATGGATGACGTCCAGTAAGACAAGAAAGATAGATAGAACCGTTTTCTTCCTACCACACACCCCCTTGCTGCCTCCCTCCTCGATGGTTCGTTCACTCCTCACTGCTGCTCTGCTGTGCTCTCTTGTTCGTGCGTGCGTGGGTGTTGGTGTGGTGTGGTGTGGTGCGGCACCATGGATGGAATCAATCAATCATATCATTGCATGCATCTCAGTGCACTGCATGTCATGTACCACTCATCATCACTCATTCATGGCAGCCTTGAACCGTCAGTAGTAGTCAGCCTCTTAAATTATCGCGTCACTCAGCAGATAGATGGCAGGCACATCGCTCCGCAAACAGACAGGGAGGGAGAAAGGGATCCGCACACCGCACCGCATCACACCGCACCGCACCGCACCGCATCGCATCGCACCACACCGCCCCGACAGCAGCCATCCACTCGTCTGCACTCATTGCACACGGACACAAACGCCCCTGCGCAAAATGGGGAGAGGGCGCTGTGTGTGTGTGTGTCTGTGTGTGCCCTTCATTCGGTCATTACCCAGCCTGTCTGCCTGTCTGCCTGCCTGTCTTGTCTGTCTGCCCCTCTCTCTATGGTGCATTCCGTTGTCTGTCTGTTCTTCTCATTGCATACGAATAGGGTCGATGATGAACGGAAAAACGAGAGAGGCGTATGGATCGCATCTATCGTATACATACACACGTACACGTGTGGTGTGGTGTGGTGTGTCCGTGTCTGTCCCGCAGGCAACGAACGAACGCATCATCGAGTGAATGGGATGCATGGGATGGGATTTTCGTTTGGCTCAGTCAGTCACATAATGGATATCGGTCAGTCGACAGGAGGGCGGGAGTGTTGCACTGCACGATAGTGCAAAGAAACAACCAGAGACACCCAGACGCACAGACACGCAGAGAGAGACAGAGAGAAAGAGATACAAAGAAAATCTCATCGCCACCACCACACAGGACAGCACACAACCACACAACCACAAGACAGACAGACAAGCAGGCAGGCAGGCAGGCGGGAAGCACTAAGAAAGGGCGGGTGGGTGGGCAAGAGCACCAACCACACCAAAAATACAAAAATATACATACGAGAAAGGATGCGTTGTGTGCGAGTCTCCGTGTGTGTGTATGACAGACATAGGGATGGATGGATAGCCATCCCCCCCTCCCTCCCTCCCCTCTCCCCTGACAGTGCCCGCACCGTACCTATCTATCGTTAGTCCGTTCGTTGGTCAGCTCTGCTCTCTTATATGCACCCACCGCACTGCACCGCACCGAAGGCAGCTGGCTGGGACCACCGAGTCTCCCAGCCTCCCTCGGCGCCTTCTCTCTCTCTGTCTCCACGTACGTATGTCTGTATGGTTACACGTATGCAATGCATCATTCATTGGATCGTCGGGTCGCGCACTCAGTTAGTCTAGTGAGTGAGTCAGCCAGTGAGTGAGGGAGTCGTCAGCCGGGCAGACAGACAGCGCACTTAAAACGCATACACGCAGACACGCACGCACGCAAAGTGAGTGCGAGTCAGTCAGTGAGTGGGGCAAGGCACCACACCACACGACACGACGCACAGACAGGGGAGGCTCGGCTCGGCTGGGCGTGGGCAGGTGTGAAGGGGCAGAGACAGATGGATGGATGGATGGATGGACAGAGAGGGGGCCAGCAACGCAACGGACGGACGGGCTATCCTCCTATGCCGCTGTGCTATGTGCGCGCCGCTCATCTGATTGACCACGACAAAAGACCCCACACACACATCCATCCATCCATCCCCCACCTGCTGCCCTGCCGGCCTGTGTGTCACCTCACCCTGCCTGTCCTGTAGTGCATATAATGCATTGGTTGGTAGTATTGCACAGAATGACGGACAGTGACTGAGTGAGATAGTGAGACAGTGAGTGTGTAGCATTATAAGCATGTATGTATGTATGTGGCTGACATCCATCCATCCATCCGTCCATCCGAAGGGCGAACGGCCGAACGGATGGCAGGAGACAAATAGCACCCAGCGATAGGTAGGTAGTCGAATGCACCATAGCATACACATACACATACACGCACACGCAACACACCACACACACCAGTCGCGAGCAACAGCAGCGGCGAGCGGGCGTGGGTGTGGCGGACAGACTGAGGGAGGTGAGGGAGGAAGTCGGGCGACCCTGACTGTGGCTGTGGCTGTCATTTCTTTCTTTTGCCGGCGTGCCTGCCTGCCTCCATCTGACTGACTGACGTGTCTGTCGCCTGGCCTGCAGCTCAATAGATGAGCGCCAAACAAACACTAGCCAGCCAGACAGACAGACACACACCGCCCGCACCCACACCACAGCCAGCCAGACATGCCCTCCGCGCGCGCCCTCCCTCTTCCTCCCCCTCGCCCGCCCCAGCCTTTGGTTGCTCGCGTGGCAAAACGTAGGGAGTCACATCCATCGGTAGCGTTAGGGCACACAGACACTCACATCACAGACACACGGGGATGCACAGCACACACCGCACATGGACATACAAGCGAGTCGACAGACAGACAGGCAGCCAGGCTGGACGATTGAGTGATGCAATTGACAATGGACTGACTGGCAACAATAGTTAGTCAGTGTGTGTATGCCCTGCAGACAGTCAGACACTTAGGCAGAGGGGGTGAGGGAGTTGGTAGGGTAAGAGGCGGAACGCTTCCTGAGTCATGCAGCCAGCCAGCCAGCCAGCTTCCCAACCAGGCGTGCACACCCACACACTCACACAGATAGATAGAGACCGCCACACACCCACCACACATTGACCAGCGACACAGCACCGACCACCGAGCACCCTATAGGAAATAAGACAGACAGACGGACGGACGGACCACCACACACATACAAAGCACACACACACACACTCACACACACACACATGGATAGATGCCTGCAGTGCACTGCACTCCTCGACGGATGCATACGTGCGTACCGTAGCACACACACCAGCAGACAGACAGCCAGGTGGGTGAACCCGACCCGACAAGGGGAGGGAGGGAGGGAGGGAGGGAGGGAGGGGGAAGGGAAGGAACCAGCCAGCCAGTCAGTCGGTCAGTCACTTAGTCAGTCAACGAGACGAACGGTACGGTGGGAGGGGAGGGGAGGGGGAAAAGGAATAAGGAACATCGATAGATACCAACGAAAACGTAGCTATGTACCTACGTATGCATCTGATCGGCACGGACGCACGCAGTGCAATGCATTGCAGGCACGTCCAGCCTCGCCCAAGAGCGTGACCGGCCCCCTGCTCCCGTGGCGTGCGTGTGTGTGTGTGTGTGGTCCGTCGTCAATCGATTGATTGATTAGTCATCATAGTGGTCGGGGCACGCCTTGATCAAATCTGCACAAACAGAGCGGGCGAGCGTCCTTGTCTTGGTGTGTGTGCATGGGCATGGGAAAGGTTGGTGTGTGGTCTGGCTGGTTTGTTTGTTCGCTGACCCTCGGCGGAAATGGTGGCAGCCCAAGTGGCCAGGACGTCAGACGCGCTCGTCGTGTGGTGAGAGGGGGTGCCGCACGAACCAGACGGAGACAACTGATTCAAACACAACATAGAGACGTGAAAGTGGTCGACCAGCGGCATGGCTTAGGTCTGTATGTGCCTTTGTCTCCCCCAACCCACCTGTGCCATGAAGGGCGGCATGCCACCCATGCCGTGCACCGCTGCCTGGTCCATGTAGGGGTAGTCTACCCCGCCCCCACACATGCCGCTCACGTCGCCTCCCATCATCATGACGCTCGAGAAGTCGGGGTGCGACGGGTGGCCCACACCCACACCCACACCGACGCCAATGTCGTCACTCGCGCCAACAGGGCGATGATGGGCGTGCGAGTGGTGCATCCCATACGAGCCGTCGTGCGAGTGGCCGCGGTGCAGCGGGGCATGGCCACCATTGCTGTCGCTGGACCCTGCTGGACCACCGGTGCCACCGCCCATGGCCACCGGGAGGGGCACGCCATTGCCGGTGGTGAGACTCACCACCGACTCGAAGCACGGTCCACCGGCCGCAAAGGCGTGTGGGTGGCTGGGGATGGGCGCCGGCGGCGGCGCCCCCTGCCCCTGCTGCTCGTGGTTGATGAGGTGGTTGCGGATGCGTGTGGAGGGGTCCATTTCGCTCTCGCTGTCCGACCCGCCGCTCTGGGTGGGCGACTCCTCACTCGAGTAGCGGAAACTCACCGTGTCGCTCGACCCGCTGCGCTCGTGGTACACCGACCCCGCACCCAATGGCTCGGTGGGCACGTCGGTCGAGTCAACGCTGCCCGCCCCGCACGAGTCGGTGGTGCAGTGGCCCAGGTCGTCGTTGGAGGTCTGGTGGGGGATCTGGGTGTTGCTGTGGGTGTTGCTGTGGGGTGCGACGCCCAGCAGTGCGTGTAGGGGGTCGGCTGGGAGGGGAGGGGGCGGCGGCGGGGGCAGGTGGTGGGGCAGTGAAGGGGTTGTGGTGGTCGAACGCGACGGGGGAGACGAATCGCGAACGCTCAGCACCGTCGGCCTGGGGAAGGAAGCGAGACACACAACACCCACAACACAAGTAGCTCGGATGCGATGCTTGCCATGGCTGTGTCTGTGCGCGTCGTGTCCCGTCCCTTTGTTACATGTTTCGTTTGGGCGTGTATCGTCTGGCATGGTGTGGCTGGTGGTGCTGCGACGAGTGGTGGGGACGCAACACACGGGGACTGCTGCCATCTGATCCAACCAACACACACACACACACAGACACACACACAGGCAGGCAGAGGAAGGCAGCGATTATGTGATGCACACATGACGATATGCAGATAGACACAAACGGCACACACGTCTGTCTGTCTGCCTGTCTGTCTGTCTGTGTGTATGTGTGTATGTGTGTATGTGTGGTTGCGTTGGTTCAGACATCTAAGGAAGTCCTCATTTGACTCGCTGCGGCGCATCACAGCTCGTCATGAGAGTACACTGCGAATGTAGAGACGTTCCTTTGCTATCATCATCACTCACTCACTCACTCACTGACCAACCAACCGACTGCCTGCCTGCCCCTCCCTCCCTCACTGCCTGCCTGCCTGCCTGTCTGCCTGGCTGGCGCACCCGCGCCCCCATTAGCTCACCGTGTCCTATGTTGGCAGAGTTGTCCTTGGTGCGGTTGTGTGCAGTCGACTGGTCGGCCTCTTGGGTGGCTGCCTCGATAGGCATGGGGTGGTGTGGGTGGTGAGAGGGGCGGTGGTGGTGGGGCTGTCCATGGTGTCCACCGTGACCGTGACCATGGTGCGGGTGCCCGGTGTTGCCGATGCGCGCCACGTGCAAGTTGCTGCCTCCATACCCATGACCTGACCCGCCACCGCCATTGCCCCCGCCCACCCCGTTGCCGTCCTCGTCGAGACCGCACAGGGGATTCAGCTCACGCTGCCCATGGGCGAACTTGCACGATGGGTCGTTGCAGCGACCCTTCAGCCACTGACCACACAACTTGGTCTGGTGGACACACACACAGAGGGACAGAGGGAGAGACACGACCATGTGTGTCGTGCTCGCTGATCCAGGCCTTGTGGTCCCCTCCTATGCGTGTTGGCGTACCTTTCGCAGGTCGGGGATGGACCGCATTTCCTCGGCTGAGTGCGCGTAGGTGCAGTTCTCGCGAGTACACCGACCCTCCTGCACACGCACACACCAAAATCAAAGTCACCACACAGATGGATGGAGCACCGGCGTCCCCCAGTGTCAGAGACGAGAGTACCTACCATAAAAAATTTGCAGAACTTAGTCTTCCAACACCTGTTGTTTGTCAATCAAGACACACAGAGAGCACACAGGCAGACAGCGAGCAGACAATGAATCACCCAGCAGCGACAGAGTGGCCTGACTGGCGGATCTGTGCCCAGGCACACGCGAGGTGCCACCACTCATCCCCCTGCCCTCCGCAGTGCCCTCCCGTCGTGCCCTGCCCACTGCCCTCTCTGGCTGCTGAGTGCGCGTGCGCTGCTCCCCTGTGCGCACCTGGCTGAGAGGCGTGACGGCAACGCGTGATGGTTAGTCATCGTGGTCGTGTCGTTCATCTTATGCTCTCAGCAACTCCTCCGTCATATAATGGCAGGTCACCAGCGCCGCCTGAAGGAGATCGATCGACACAGATCTCCGCTGCAACACACTCTTCTACGACTAACGGTCTTCGGCAGAGCAAACGAGGGAGGAGGGAAAGCGCCAAAGAAATGCCGGCGTATGCGAGCTAAGCTGCCGATCGTTGGCTTTTATCGGCCTTTTTCTCTTCGTTTTCCACACCACACGTCCTTGCACCTTTCACCTGACTCACCTGCATTTGCGTGAGGCATTTTCTCCAGCAAAAACCATCTCATCAGGTCGTAGGTCTATAGGGTTCCGTGGGTAGTATCCGTCCTTTAGTGTCTCCGTCAAACGGGGGGAGGGGGCGTGGGGGCAAGACTGGGAGTCTCCGTCGAAAATGTCGTTTCTGGCGGAGACGGAACGCCGAATCGACAAGCTGCTCCACGAGTGAGAGACGAAGAAACTCGCGCCACTCTGTCATTGCATGGCTGTGTTTGTCTGTCCTGCACTGCAGTCTTGAGGTTGATGAGGCCGTGCGCACGCCAGCCAGCGCCCCGCTGCCGCCCGTTCAGAAGGTGGCGAGGCGGCTGGCCGACATGGACGAGGAGGATGACTGGGCACTGCCGCCCAGAAGGGGCACACACCTCCACACACGCCCCGCGCCAATCGACACGAGCCCACACACCAGACCACGTGCGTCAGTCGGGATGGATCCATGGATACATATGTGCAGACAGAGCCGCACAATGTTATGCACTCCAGGCCAGGCCTCATGCCTTGTGTGTGTTGCCGTCAGTGTGTGTGAGGGCGGTAGAGAGGAGCCAGGCCGAGGTGCAGAGCCTGCAGGACGAGTCGAGACGCCAAAAGAGACAAATTCTCATGCTCAGCGAGGTAAGTAGGTGCACTGACCATGCATCCACACAGGCCGAATGGATGGACGCCCCCAGGTTTCGTCAATTAATGTGTATGTGTAGGACTGTCGGCGGCACGCGTTGGAGGCTGAGCGGTCCCGAGCTCTGGCCGCCAAGCTGGAGGTGGCCCAGCGACAGAGCAGCGATGAGAGGGTCAAACTACTCAGCCAAATCGCTGAGGTCAGTCATTCGGCCGGCCAGCCAATCACACATAGACACAGACGTACAAGACCATGGGCATGAATTGCCTCGTGCAGCTTCGTGCTGACGTGGCGGCGTGTCGTCACGAGAATGAGACGCTGAGGCGGCGCAACGCGGCTGACGACCTCCGGGAGCAGGAGATCCGCGCGCAACTCGAACAGCACATGGACCAAAACACAACTCTCACACAACAATACCAGGTAGGCGCGGTTTGCCGGCCAGGTCAGGTCAGATGAGGCATTCATTTGTTTGGGCGTGGCGTGCGTGTTGTGGGGATCGTATCGGTTGCAGGATGCGTGTCTGGGTCAGCAGCGGCTGAGTGGCGAGCTGCTGGAGGCTGACAAGGTCGCCGCCGACATGAGACGGGCAGTGCAGCCCCTGCTCATCGACAGGTAGACCACCATCAGCCATTTCCCCATTGGCTGTCCGCCGCATGTAGGTCTGCGTTGATGGCGTTTGTGTCACGGCTCCTCTCCCTGACCGTCGACACCTTCTTCGACCCAACACCATTCTTCAAGGCAAGCAAGGCACGCACCGCACACACCCAGAGAGAGACAAGTATCGTATGTATGCCGGCCACTGTCCATCTCTTCCTGTCAGAATGATCGCACGGTGAGTGGGGAGGGCCGTGCGAGAAGTGCACCGCCCAAATACACCAGGGGAGTGCCCATGCGGCTCCAGAGACGAGTCGAGGTGCGTACCACCACATCCAAGAGTGTGTGAGTGCGATGGTGTGATGATGTGTGTGACGGCTGCCTGCCTGCCTGTCTGCGTGTAGGCCCGCCGGATGGGGGAGCTGTGGGAGCTGCTTGAGCGACGTGAGTGAAGGCGTGGACATTGCAGCCAGCTGGCGGGCCTGCGTCTCTCGATATGCATGTCTGTCTACGTGCTGTATGTATGTCTGTGTGTGCAGAGCGTCAGGAGCTCCGTCAGATGTCCAAGGACCTCCTGACAGTCGCAGCCCAAACCCTCGAGGAAAGCCAACGGACACAAGACGTACGCAATCCAATCCAATCCACACACAGACAGACAGGCAAAGCACATGCATGTACACAAATTGAATGCATTCACGTCTCGTGATCGATCCCCACGTGTGTGTGTGCTCTCGGTGTGTCATCCATTCATCTATCAATCAGGTTGCACTCAAGTGTCCGCTGGCCCCATTGGCCAGCGACATTCCCGAGCTGCTGGACGAGCTGTCCCGGACGCTGCCGAGCCTCACCGGTGTGGATAAGGGGCCCATCGACATCCGAGAGGGGTCGGCCGGCAATGTGTGGCTGGGGCGGGAGAGGTACGTGCTGCGCCTCATGAAGGACATGACAGAGAAGTGCGCATACCTGGCAAAACTCGAGAAGGCCGCAGAGAAACAAAGGGGCGGGGCGGGGGTGTGCCGCGACATATGCTATGGCGTCAACCACTACGGTCAGAGGATCCACGGCAGGCCGGGGTGGTGCTCTCTGTGGCCCTGAATGAGTGCCAGATGCGTGATTGATTGATGTATGGTCAGCTGATTGATGAGCTGGCGAGGCGAGCGATTGGCTAGAGTCAGCTAGGGAGGCAGGCGGTGTGGTGAATGGGATGCCTGGATGGACGCGTGAGTGAGTGAGTGCTCCCACCAACCGATCGACGAGACACAGAGCTGATGGCATGGATGGCATGGTCTGCACGATTCGATTCGTCCATTCAGTCAGCACATGTAATACCACTGACTGATATAAAATGCAGGCAGCGATATAAGTAAGTCACGCCACCCTCTCTGTCACGTGCACACACCTGGGCCTACATGTCTTTCTCCCACCCACCAAAGTGCTACGACGAGCTAGACACGGAGTCGGCGTTCTGTGAGACAATCCTTGTCAACGAACGCAAACATCGCGACAAGGTGCACCAAGGATATAAAATGTAGGCAGCGATGTTATTTAACGCCCTCTAAGGACGTGTCCAGCTCACGCACACCTTGGGCTTGCCGCCCGTCTTGATCTGCCGCACTGGCAATTCCCGGGGCCCTCCTCGCGGCTGCGGGCGTCGTCCAGCAGCTGACGCGCATACTCGACCACCTCGTGGTCACTCAATGCACGATCTGATCCAGACAGACAGACAGACAGACAAGTGAGGGGAGGGCACCAATGCACAAACGAGACACGGGGGGGAAGGGTAGCCCCACCAGCGGTTGGCGGCGTGGGTGGCGGCTTCAATAAGGGGCGGCCAGTGGGGGTGCAGATGAGGCGGCGGCAGCCTGTTCCTCGGCTGTGAGTAAAAACAAGAAGGAGCTCCACCATGTAGCACCGATAGGCGTGCATCTTTATCCCTCCCTTCCTACCGGGCTTTGACTGAAATCCCTTCTCTTTGATGACACGGGTCATCTTCTCTCTGAGGGCACGATACCTCCGAACGTTCTCGATGCCTGCTGCCCTGAAACAGTGGCGGCCGGCCTAACCTCACACACGAAAGACAGAAGACAGCCCGCAGGTCATGCTCCGCTTCCATCCATTCGGTTTGTCAATGCCGCCCCCTTCATGTACCTCGTTTGGAGCGTAAAGGAAGTCTTCGATGGCCTCCTCCACCTCCTTCTGGGACACGTTGGGGTCCTCGCCCAAAAAGGCCTCGCCCAGCTCGATCACCCGCCAAAAGAGGGCCAGCTCCTCCTCCGTGGGGTCGCGGGGAGGAGTCCGGCCCGCCCTGACGGCCAGCTCGGCGGCAAGGGCTCGCTCGGCGGCTGTTGGTGGGCGGGGGCGGGTGGAGGACTGCTGGGTGGAGGGCGGGGGAACAGAGGGCAGCATGGCGCACAGTGAGGGACCGTGGAGGGCACAGGGTGGGGGTTTGACAGAGGTATCTTCTGTAGGTGGGCACGAAATATCTTCTCTTCGACGGCACGATACCTGTCAACGTCCTCCTCGGATGATACTCGGAAGAGGTGGCGGGCGGCCTGACCTCACGCACAAAAGACAGCAGACAGCCCGCAGGTCATGCTTCGTTTGCATCCATTCGGTTTGTCTAATGCCGCCCCCTTCATGTACCTTGTTTGGAGCGTAGACGAACTTCTCGTTGGCCTCCTCGACCTCCTTCCGGGGCACGCTGGGGTCCTCGCTCAGCTCGATGACCCGCCAGAAGAGCGCCAGCTCCTCCTCGGTGGGGTCGCCGGGGGGAGTCCGGCCCGCCCTGATGGCCAGCCAGCTCAGCGGCTGTAGGTGGGCGGGGGCGGGTGGACTTCTGTTGGGTGGAGGGCGGGGGAACAATGGACAACATGGCACAGTGAGGGGGAGCGTGGAGGGCAAGGAAGGGCAGGGCGAGCAGCGAGCAGGGACGTCTCTCGTCAGCGAGGGAGAATCACCTCTCCTCGGCGAGCTCAGGCATGTCTGGCGGCTTCAGTGGGGGTGAGGGGCGGCCAGCGGGGGTGCGGTTGAGGCGGCAGCGGCAGCCATTTCCTGGGCTGTGAGTAAAAACAAGGAGGAGCGCCACCATGTACCACCGATAGGCGTGCATCTTTATCCATCCTGTTCCTTCCTACCGTACAAGCGAGCATGCTCCATGTATTCCTCCTTCTTCCACGGGTCCGAGGCGGCGTGGAACCTGCAGATGTCCTCAAAGGAGGTTGCCCGGAAGACGTGGCGGGCGGCCTGACCTCACGCACAGAAGACAGCAGACAGCCCGCAGGTCATGCTCCGCTTCCATCCATTCGGTTTGTCAATGCCGCCCCTTCATGTACCTCGTCAGGAGCGTAGAGGAAGTCTTCGATGCCCTCCTCCACCTCCTCCCGAGCTCAGCTCGATCACCCGCCGCATGATATGATGTATGATATGTGGCATATCCTCCTCTCAGGCGGGCGAGGCAAGCTGTCCAGTGGACAGGGCAGAACAGGGGGCATCCGAGGGCATCTTGCAAGGGCAGTGGTGAGCAGCATGATAGCGAACGGGGCAACTAAAAGTTTAAAGGTTGTGCCGGCAGATAAAGGGTTATTGCTGCTTCAGGCCGTCTCGTCGAGAAAAAATCTCGACTGCGAGCTTGACGACTTTTCCCCTCGTCAAAGTCCCTGAGCAAACCTCTCGGCAGCGCCAACTATCAGGCCCTCCTGTGGACTCACAAGGCGAGCAACGCCGGAGTAGCGCCAGGCAAGGCTGCTCGTCCGGTGGCAAAGTTGTCCGGTGGTGACTCTGCGTGCGTGCTGATCAGGGTCTGTGAAGACAGCTGAGCAGTAGGCTGTGCTGTGCCTTGTGGTGTGCGTGCGTTGTGCACCACCCCATGGCAGCTGCAGCTGTGAGTCATCGCGGGATGAAGCGTCCGGTGGATTTCTCTCAAGTTTGTGGGGAGGACGGGGACCACTGGCATGACGATCATGGCGTGGGGGGTGCGGTGTCGCCGCCGTCAGGTGGGGAGGGAAGGAGGGAGGGATGGAGAGAACGGGAGATGGGGAAGAGACCACCTGTCGTGCGTTGCGTTGGTTGCACCTGCTGTTGTTGGTGTGCAGGAGGGATGGACAAACGTCACCATTCCGATGGCGACTTGAGTGCGTGGGGTCACATGGGGCTGCCCGTCGGCGAGCAGATGGTCGGCGAGACCCCACGGTGTGCTGCGGGTGCGGCGTCCTCTTCACCCAGATACGACATGGGCTCGTCCGTCCCTCCCCCTCCCCCTCCCCCCCTTCCATCCCTGCCCCTCATGGCCGATGAGGGCGGCCACGGCCACCCTACACACCCAATGGCTGATGCGGCTGAGGACCACGAGCTGGCCATCCCGCCCAACATCATCGCTGAGGCCCTCCTGCGGTGTCTGCTGGACCACACCAAGCCGGGCAGCCCTCTGGGGATCCAGTGGATGCCCGCTGACACCGCCATGGGGGCGGCCGGCGGCTGCTTTGTCGTACAGATAGAACACGCCGACCAGCTCTATGACGGCGGGGTCTTCAAGCCACCCACACTCGCCAGATCAGACATCGAGGCATCCCTCAAACAGGTCAGCCAGTCAAGAGGCGGATGGCGGTCTCCACGGGGCTGGAATAGAATAAGACGTCTTGTGTGTTTGTGCGTGGTGTGTGTGCAGGCGTTGTCGAGTCGCAATCGGCTGTTCTCTGACGAGTCCCACTGGATCGACCCCTCCCGTGTTGGTGTGCGCAAGGACGGGATGCCGATCCCCTGGCCGATTGCGTCGCAGTGGACCCAGATGGCCACCAACAACTACCACTCGATGCCCCCGGCCCTTCCCATGTCGCCCCCCCACGGCCAGCCGTGCATCCCTCTCCCTCCCCCCGCCCCCATGCACCACCTGCCGGTCATGTCGCCCACCCACCTCCCCCTCCCTCCCCTCCCCATCCCCCTGCCGATGCTGCCCGTCCTCCAGCGGCAGCAGGGGGGCATCGGCGGGGGCGGTGGGCCTCACCACCCACAGATGCGCCGCATCATGCCGCTGGTGCCACCCAATCACAGCAACATGGGGCAGGGTGGGGGTGCACCCCCATGGCCATTCGACACACTCCCGGAACATATCAACAGTAAGCACAGCACCTACCTATCAGATCTGACACGCGTCTCGTTTGTGCATTGCATTGGTGCCCTCCCCTCACTTGTCTGTCTGTCTGTCTGTCTGGATCAGATCGTGCGTTGAGTGACGACGAGGTGGTCGAGTACGCGCGTCAGCTGCTGGACGACGCCCGCAGCCGCGAGGAGGGCCCCGGTTTGAATGTGTCGTGGGACAAGCGGTCCAGGGCCTTCAAGCTGTCATTGAGGGACCCGAAGTTTCGACTCTTCCGTGAGTTCCGCCCGGCGGAGAAGACCGTCAAGGGCGTCTGTGAGGCGCTGGCCAAGGCACTCAAGCTGCGGGACGATGCCAGGGCCGGCAGGCTCACTAACCAGGCCGGAGGGCCACACATTCACTCACCCAGAGGCAACCCAAGCAGAGGTACGTACGTACGTATGCACGTACAAACGGCACCTACACACCACACCATACCAGACCGACGGGAACTTGTTTGTATGCTTGTGGGGCTTGTGGATGTCTGCCTCTCTGTCTTGTCTTTGTGGCGCACGTATACATCCATGCAGCGATGCCGCGGATGCCGCCAGCAGTGTGTGAGCCGCCTTCCATGGGGCCCCCGCCCATCCCGGTCGACGTATCCGCATTCGCAGACAGCACGCGGGAAGAAATCGCCGGTGGGTCGCTCAAGCGCCCACACTACACCCCTTTCAATGGCACACGCACCTAACCTGAAAAAATACCTGAACCGATGGATGTGTTGCTTGCAGCGAAATTTCCAGCGGCGTTTCGTCAGCTGACTCCATCCGACCTTCGTCAGGCGGCTCAGGTGCTGTTGAACCGGCTGCGTGCGCAGTGCTCGATGGAGGAGTGCGGCGTGGGAGAGGGCCGGAAGGGCGGGCTGGGGATCAACCTGCAGACACAGACGACCAGTTTCGCCGTCAACATCCAGGTGGGCGGCAAGACCCACTACGGCGGCTCCCACCACCCCCCCTCACCGACCTTTGAGGGCATCGTCACGGCACTCAAGGCCGCCGTCGGATCCAGAAACAACCTCACACACTCCCTCGGGTAGGTAGGGTAGGGGACACACAACACACCCAACTCAGTCAGTGCTGACAGGAGCGGCCGGGCTGGGGGCATCGATACATCGCACAGTCTGTCTGACCAAAACACGTGTGTGTGTGTTTTTGTGTGTGTGTGTGTGTGTGTTCCTGTGTAGGATGCCGGGTTTCATCCCCATGGTGCGTGTGGATCAGGCGTGGATAGCGCTGCTCGAGGACAAACAGACCGTCGACCAACAACACGACACACAGCCTCAAACAGAACGGGTCAGTGAGTGAGTGAGGCCCACACCCAGGCGGACAGGCAGAGCAGGCAGCCACTATCAAATCGATGGACGATGGATTGAGCAGCTCATCTGTATGGCGGGTGGTGTGTTGTGTTGCGTGTGTCGTGTTGTGTGTGTATGTCAGGCGGCTGGGCTGCCCCAGGCGTGACAGCCTCCTGGATGGATGGATAGCTGACTGAAGCCAGTCGGGTCCGCCACCAGGGAGGGCGCAACCAAGGGGCTTGCTTGGCGTGTCAGTGTTCTGTACAAAGGGCGACGAGCGCCTACCTGCGCACGCTGGTTGGGTGGCTGGCTACTGTCTAGTGTGTGTGTGTGTGTGAGAGAGAGAGAGAGTGAACAGCTGTGTGTTTTTCAGGATAGATGTATTGGTTGCTGCTGGCTGGCACACAAGTAATACCCAACGTTTCCATCCAACCATCAGATGGATGGTGCCTATCTATCCTAGACAGATCCTATCTATATAGTACTAATATAGAGAGAGAGGGTGATGTATGTGTCAGTCTCGGTGAGTCACTTTTCCAAACTAGGCAAGGCAAGGCCAGCTTACTAAGTAATTAAGCGGACGGACAAGAGGGCGAAGGCACGCATGTAAGTGGATGGATGCCTTCATGCCTGCCTGCGTGAGTGCCAGCACGTGTGAGCGGGTGTGGGGTGTGCAGGTAGGGCGATATATGGGTGAGAGAGAGATTGACGCTGACTCTGGTTTCTATGGAATAATGATGAGTCGTTCTCTACACATACGTTACGCAATGCAATCCATACACGAAAAACGGTCAGATACACACACGCACAGTCGCCTACACAGCAGACATGCCATGCCATGGCCATGCCCGACGCTGGCCAGACACCACCTATCCGGCCATCAAGCCATCCATCCATCTCATCGTGCTTCTTTCTAGCTAGGCTCACAAGAAGCTCCCTCTCACCCACCTCAACTACCGATCTATCTGTCTGCCTGCGTGCCTGCCTCGGTGGAAGGAAGCACACCCCTGGTTGTTGCTGCTGCTGCCGCCGCTACAGATCGCCCGTCACACTCACTATTCGTTCCACTGCTTCCGCTCCTGCCCTGCCGGCGGCTCGAGAGGCTCCTTCTCGTAATCCCTGCACACATGCATACGCCCACACAGTAAATGAGGGATGGATGGATGGTAGGATCGATGACAACAAACCAATTAGCACGCCCCAAATGCAGTGCAGTGTGTTGTGCTGTCAGGCTCCCTCCCTCCCTCACTTGTGGCTGACTTCGCCCCAGTTGGTGGACAATACCGTCCCGCCAGACGTTTGCTGCGCACACACACAGGGCAGACACACAGCAATCAATAGGTAGGGAGGGAGTTACCCATCAGTCAGTCAGTCGGTCAGTCACACTGGGTTACATTCATTCGGCTTACGAAGGACTTGACCATGGCCCGTCTGGTGTCTTCGTCGCCCTTGGCGTATATCTCCCTGAAGAGGGCGTTGAGCGCCGCCTCGCCCTCAGGCCTCTCGGCCTTCAACTCGTCCTCCAACTCCTGCACACACGCAGACGCACGCACACACACACACACATAGAAAACACACACACAAAGCGCGTGCAGGAGTGAGTGACCGACCGACCTTGTCGATTTGTTCCCAGTCTTTCTTCTGAGCCCGTGATGAGGGATACTGACGTGCCTCACCTGCCAGTCACCGCATAAACACCACACGAACACACAACACGTACGTACGTCATCCGGGGGGGCATATATCTCTCTAGGTAACAAACATGTGTCCGTGTCCAGCTCATGTCAGTGTGTCAGTGCAGTGCAGTGACCCTTCTTGTTCTCTGCTGCCTTCTCCAGTGTGGGCCATACAGCACCTGCACACACGCAGAAAAAGAGACACACTCGCACAGACGAACGATCCCTGAAGCAGCTGATGTCTCGACACTCCACGCACTTCTCACCCTTCCGTCCCTGCCTAGCCTACCTACCGTATGTTTTCTTTTTCATTTTGAGTTCGACTTTGAGTGGGGAGACGACCACAGTGGACATGTCGGGGACGATGTCGCCGTGCAGCTCGCCCACACGCAACACCCACGGACAGACCTCACCCTCGCCTATCCACACAAACACATGGGGAACGAGCGGAGTGAGGCCGGTCGGTCGGCAGGCGGTACCTGGCAGCTGCAGAGTAAGCGAGAAGGACCTAAGGTCAGCCAACGGATGGCAACAAACAAGGGTGAGCCAGCTATCCATCCATCTCACCAGTCTCCGACTCGTTCGAGTACCTGTCAGCGAAAGTAGCGTTGCATTGTTTGTCGGTGAGGCCCTTGGCGTACACAGTCACCATCACGTGGCTCGACGTCTGCATCCACTCGTGCCTGCACCGTACATATGTTGACAGACAGACAGACAGACAGACAGGCAGACAGACAGGCAGACAGACAGGCAGACAGACAGGCAGACAGACAGGGAGGGAGGGAGGGAGGGAAGAGGGAGCAATGCATGCCAAGTGTTTATATATTGTCCCTCTGCGTCTTGACCCGTTTACCTGATTTTGTGTGAGGCGGCATCATCCGAAGGTGGGGGCTGCGGCTGTTGCCTCTCCTTGGGCAGCACAGCGGGGGCCTCCTTCACTACTGGAGCCGCTGGCATGGGCCGCTCGGCCGAACGCGGCGGAACAACGCTGTGGCCGTTGACTGAGGCACTGCTCGTAGACAGCGGGTAGACAGAGCCTGACATACAGATAGGTCTGTCCATCCATCGACTGGCCCGGCTGGCGTGCCAGAGCACACAGACCGACCTGATATTTCGGCGTTGCATTTCCTGATCCATCTGTCCCATGGGACGGCGGGGGTGTCGGTGCCAGTGCCCATCTGGTGGTGCATGTCGGCCCCCTTCTGGAAACACGTTAGGGCGGCCTCGTACTCACGCTGACTGTACAAACACTCCCTGAGCAAACATTCAGCACACCACAGGACAGGAGGGTCTGCCTTCATTGATCTATCTATCTGTCTGCCGTGCGTGTGCGTACAGTACCCCTTCCTGAGGAATGCCATGAGTTTGGGTTTGGTCGGCCCCTCGCCGGCCTGACGCGACAAAACCTCGTTGCTGTCAGCTACGCCACCTGAACAAACCATCAGCCATCGAGACGATCTTGGTGCAGCAAGAATGAGGGAGTCTGACGTCGTCTACCTACCTGGGAAGTTTCCCGAGTGGATGTGTGCTGCCGCCCGGTTTGTGAGGCACTCGAGCACATCCTGGGGAGGAGATCCGACGTCTATGCCCTCCGAGTAAGCTGCACGCACACCAACAGATCTGCTGCTTGTGTGTTGTCCGCTGCCATCATTCATCGCCGTGTTTTGTGTGTGTTGACCTTCGATGGCCAGCGCATAGCTTCCGTCGACAAAGCGGCTGTTGCCGACACACAGCCACCTGTTCGCGTCCATGTTGCCTCTCTGTTGCGAGCTTGGAGGATGTAAATGGAGCTCTTTTGGGGGCTGGACAGTAATGAGTGAGCAGCGTCAGCAGGGCTGGAGTTCCGACGGCCCGCCTGTGCCGCGGGGGCCCGGGGGTGTGGCGAAGCGTGAGCCTGACCTTGAGCCGATGGATTCGTCTGGTCAGGATGAGCCGCAGATCCCCACACTCGAGGAGGCCGACGATGACGACCACACACAACACCAGGTGGCAGCGCCACCCGCATTCTTAAAGGTCAGGACGCCGAGAGGATGGCAGGGAGGAAGGAAGATAGTACATAGAGAAATTGGCCTGCCTGACAATGGGCCCGAGCCAGTGACCTGTCTGTATGTTCATGTGTATGTCTGTGTGCAGGTGTTGAAGCCCGTGAGTATCAAGAAGGATTTCCGCTCCACCCTACTGCTCCACCCGGTGGGCGTGTACTGACGTGATGGTGCCTGACGCCGAAACGATAATGTCCTCCCTCTGGTGGCTGGTTGGTCATGTATGTCTGTGTGCAGGAGGAGGGGGTGGATTTAAGCATTCTCACGACCACACTGTGCTCCGAGAAAGCCGTACACATACACACACGACGAGAGAGAAATGGCTGAGGGGCATATGTGCGGTCGTATGGGTGGGTGGGTGGGTGGGTGGGTGGAAACTGTCTGCAGATCCGCGAAGCCGAGCAGGACGTGCTGTGGGACTACGATATACTCTTTTCGGAGGTGAGCAGGACACCCATCAGTCAGCAGACACTGCACGTGGACGTATGTGATTCTCTCTGTCCGCTTGCCTTTCATCCTTCCATCCATCTGTTTGTCCCTCCCACAGATTGCCTCCTCGCTGCGGTCGCAGACATTCGAAGACACGGACACCCACTCCAAAACCAACATGGCCACTCAGGTCTGTGGGTATCATGATAACGATATACACGGACGGCTAGCCTAACCACTGAGTGCACTGGGTGGGGTGCTATGGATATGTGCGCCTCGCCTTGTCCGTGTGTGCAGGGCGGCGTGGCGTACGACTTGCCGTATTGATTGGATTGCGTTTCGTCGTGTCGGGTGGACTGACTTTTCCCTCCGTCCGTCCGTATGTAGTCCCTCCCTCCCTGTCTGATGGTGTTTGTCTCGGTCTACGTGTGGGAGACCGACAGAGAGCACCCATCCATCCCATTGGTTTAAACCACAGATGGCCATGAATGAAGGTCTCGCATGCGGTCCCATTGCATCCATCCATCGCAGGACAGGTCATGGCACATGTAGCACATGATTCAGTCAGGCGGGTAGTGGGGTACGTACAGAGGGAAAATGGGGCGGGGGGGAGGGAGAGATAGGGAGAGAGATAGGCAACAAGCAGTGAGCTCCTCTGACTTGTTGCAATCATTCGACTGTCCGCAGTGTATCCATCCTGTAGATAGCAAGCACGGCTACACACAGACAGCCAAGGCGAAGCTGTACACCAGTCAGTTCGTCATCTGAACTCGAAGCCTTGTTCCTGAGTGGCAGTTTGCGGCCGTTGAAGCCCGCCCGCCCCGGTGTCCTGCGCCTTCCTCTGCTTCATCATGTCCTCCATCATCTTGTTGCTCGCCGCCTGCTGAATGTACTGCCTGCACACACACACACACACACACACACAAATCCATCCTCAAACGTAAAGTGTTGTGTAGTGTTCGGTGTATCTGTCTGTCTTACTGTCGGGGTGACTGTGCCCATTTCCGCTGCACGATCATGGACACGCCCTCGATGATGGTCAGCAGCACACCACCTATCATCGCATTCCGCATCGCAGAACGCCACCCACCTGAGCGAGTTGATGGATGCAGTACACCAACACATACACACCGCGGACATGAGCCCTGTCTATCGGGCTTAAGCAAGTCGGCGTGTGTTCGTGCCTCTGAGTGCGAGTGTGCCGCCTGTGAGGAAGCCCGACGCTATCGCGTTCCAGTGGTCCTCCTTGCCACGCAGGTACTGAAAACTGCAATCAAACACCGAAAACGTGCCGCCCCACACCGCAAAATTGCCTGAAGAAGATCCATAAGATGACAGAAATGGATAATAACCAGACAGGCAATGGGGATGGATGCACCAGTCTGGCTGTCTACCACACAGGTAGGTGCTGTGTTGAGCTCACCGCCCAGGCCGGGTGCTCTTGATTTGGCGCTGTAGAGAGCGCCCGACAGCACCTCTCCCCTGGGGGAGTTCCTGGCGCCCTTGACAAAGTGCCACAGGAAACCGCCCACACAGCCCATCCCAAATGCACCGCCCAAATCCTCCACTATGCGGTCGGGACATGGCTGCACACACGGAATCCATCCCACGTACACATCACGGATGGACACATGGATGGATGCAGCAAGGTGTGCGTACCTCTCGGCCGAGGTCTGACGAGTGTTCTCCCATCTAGCTATGTGTCCACGGACCGCACTTGGACAGTCAGTGCCTTTCCCCTCTGCCCGCAAAGACAATCAAAAAGGCGAGGGGGAGATGGTCCATGACAATAAGTATTCCATGACCATCTTTCGTTGTGTGTTTCATGCAGCCTTCCTACCTTGTGTGAATAATGGTGCAGGGGGAGGGAAGACAGGCAAGTGAAGCTCGCAGTCGAGATTTTTTCTCGACGAGAGACGGCTGGCGACAACAGCAATTGTTATCTCCGCAACCGCGCTAAACTTTCAGTTGCTCCTTTCGTTACATTTATCATGCTGCAGGACCCGCCCGGACTTGAGGAGGAGATCTGAGGTTCTTCTTCTCCCAGCTTGTCAGCGCGCAGGGCGCATGGAACAACGCGTACGTTGAGAAACAGAAACAGCCACGCAGACGCAAAGCGGAAGAACGAACAGCATGCATCTGTTCTTCCTCCCTGTTCAGATCGAGAAACTGGACGCGGAGAGGGATGCACTGAAGAGTGAGCGATTGGGCGGGTCCCACTTGTCTGTCCCCCATGCGCCCATCTGTCTGGCTGGCTGGCTGAGTGAGACATCTGCGTGCTTTCTCTCGTGTGTACGCATGAATGTATGCAATGAATGCAGAGAGGCTCAAAGACACCACTGGTCAAGGTCAAGACGGATAGCTTTGCTACTTCCGCCTCGCCTCTTTCCTGACTGAGGATACGCATGCCTTCTTTTGCGCTGTACTCAAACACGCAGGTCAGGAGGCTGGAATCGGAGGTCAAGGATCTCAAAGGTCAGTCAGTCACGAGTTGTCAGTCATATCTAAGCATCTCCTTTTGCCACCTGCGTGCAGAGCGCCTCAAGACCAAGAGTGTGACGGCCAGCACTCACCCCAACAAGGTCAATGGACAAAGAAGCGAGGATCACGCCACGGAGTGACTGATGACCGAGGCCTCGCCTCCTTTGTGAATCGATTGATGTTTAGATTGTCATGCTGCAGGACCCGTCCGGACTTGAGGAGGAGAGGACCCCAACTCATCAGGCCAGGAGCTGCAGCTGGACGAGGCCACCGCGCCTTCTCGCCGGCGCCTGACGAGGTACATGAAGGAAGACCCGGGGCAGCATTAGACAAACTGAATGGACGGTTGATGAAACGAAGCATCGCTGGCTGTCTGCTGTCTACCGCGCGCGTTCAGGCCTCCCGGCGCTGTTTCCCTCGGACGAAGGAGCTTAAGGAAAAGTTCGATCACTTTGAGCGTTGCCTTCAAGCTAGACCACGAGAACAAGCGGCTTGTTTTTGTGGCGAACAAGCCGTTCGTGCGGCCTATTTCGATGGCGCCAAGCGGTGCGTGCTGACGGTGGATGGTGGACAGGGGGTGGAACCCTTCGTTGTCGCGATGGACTACCTCGGTAAGCAGGGGAGGCTTTCGACTCGCTGCTGGCTGTATGGATGCGTTCATGGTCAGGTGGTGAGTGGATGATGGTCACGGAATTTCAGAGGCTGTACAACATCCCCGACATGTGCGAGAGACTCAAGGGTGCGAGTGACGAGGACGGGGCTTGGAGTAGGGCACATACCGCCCTCCACCCAGCAGAAGTTCACTCGCGCCCGCCCACCTACAGCCGCGGAGCTGGCTGGCCATCAGGGCGGGACGGACTCCCCCCCGCGACCCCACGGAGGAGGAGCTGGCCCTTTTCTGGCGGGTGATCGAGCTGGGCGAGGACCCCAGTGTGTCCCGTAGGGAGGTCGAGGAGGCCAACGAGAATTTCGTCTACGCTCCTGACGAGGTACATGAAGGGGGCGGCATTGACAAACCGAATGGATGGAAGCGGAGCATTGCCTGCGGGCTGTCTGCTGTCTTTTGTGCGTGAGGTCAGGCCGTCCGCCACGTCTTCCGGGCAACCTCCTTTGAGGACATCTGCAGGTTCCACGCCGCCTCGGACCCGTGGAAGAAGGAGGAATACATGGAGCATGCTCGCTTATACGGTAGGAAGGGACAGGATGGATAAAGATGCACGCCTATCGGTGGTACATGGTGGCGCTCCTCCTTGTTTTACTCACAGCCCAGGAAATGGCTGCCGCCGCCGCCTCAACCGCACCCCCGCTGGCCGCCCCTCACCCCCCACTGAAGCCGCCAGCCACGCCGCCAACCGCTGGTGGGGTTACCCCTCCCCCCCGTGTCAACAGCCAGGCAGCCCCCGCATGTCATGCGGCCCGCATACGGGCACCCTTTGCCCACTCGCCCGCCCCCAACACCAGCACCACCACCACCACCAGCCCTGCCGAGGTACGAGCCAGTCCTAGGATTTCACGTGGGCGACCAGCGGAGCGCACGATGACGCTCGTGCGAGCCGTCCACCACCAGCCCCCCATCTTACTTACTGTCTGGCGGAGGACCAAGTAGACAGACAGACAGACAGAGAGATGATTGACTGAGTGTGCGTGACTGTGTGTGGGGGGAGCCGCATTCCAAGGAGGTAGCCAGGCGCCTTTCTCTTGGATTGGTGGGCGCTAAATTTCATCGCTGCCTGCATTTTATATCCTTAGTGCTCGTTGTCGCGTCCGTTGATACATGCTGTTATAAGCAAGACTTCCAATCTTCCCAATGACCGACTGTGTCTAGCTCGTCGTGGCAGTATGGCCTCGTGCAGGTGCGAGGATGATATGTAGGCCCACCTTGAGGGTTGGTGCCTTATGTCGCTGCCTGCCTTTTTATGCATTGTGTGAGGTGACACTCATTGGTGGTTTCCGTTGTGCTTTTTAAGGTCTGGTGCTTCCGTGTTTTAGGTTGGTGGTTGCGCGACCACTAACTCATTCACTCACCCGTCCGTCCGTCCATCCATCCATCCATCCGTCCAGCAATGCACCACACTCTTTGCTCTGCAAAGAGGCCACGGAGGAGCGACATAGTTCGGTCCATGCATCCACTCAAAAAGCATGCTACTCTTGTCAGTCAGCAGGGAACGACATCTCAGTCATGATTGACGGCAGCCTCATCACGGCGTCCCTCCGTCCCTTTCTTCTCTGTCCGCCCTACACTACACAGTGCCCCTTGGTTCACTCACTGGCCGGCCCCGCCTGTCCCTCCCTGGTGCTGCTGGCCGCCGTGTACGTGGCCAGCCGGTCGGCCAGGGGACGCCTGTGGCGGAGGACGCTCTCGCGGAGGACGCTCTCCCGGCCGCATCGCAGCAGCATCAGGGGTCTCCTGCTGGCGCATGGCCGCTATGTCGGCCAGCAGCTCCTCGCGGTCGGCCGCCGTGAGCTGCTCCACCCTCTTGAGCGCCTCCACCTTTGCCCGCATCCCCACCAACTCGGCAATGAGAGCGGCCTGGTCGCTCTGAGGCAAAGCCAAACACGTGGTATGCATGTTGTGCCTCACTCAAAACTCGTAGTGCAGATCAACATTCACATACCAGCAGCGCCCTCCGCTGGATGGCGGCGGCCTCGACCGCGAGGGCCTCTATCTCGGCCCGCCACTTCGCAATTAAAGGCTGAAGGAAAACAAAGAACAAGTGACAAAGTGCTGTGTTGATGGGCGTCACTTGCATACCTCCCGGTGGCGCCTCACGTGCTCACGTATCTCCCTCAGGCGCTCCCCCTCCTCGGTTGACATGGCGGCGATGAGGCGCTCGACTTCTTGCCCCTCGGACACACCCGGAGGAGGGTCGAGTGAGAGAGCGGTTTCACGGAATGTGCGAGCTTTGCGAGTCGGGCGAGAAGAAGGGAGCGAGGGCCCTTTCGCCCGTTGAATCACCCGTGAACTCGAGAAGGTTCCGTTGCTGCCCGAGATCTGGCAAGGTCGGACGTCCAGGGGCCTGTTGCGCAAGTGGTCGTCAGTTAATCATCCTCACCCACGATGAGAGGGCTGTGGCTGGCGGTGATGATGGCGTGCAGCGGCCAGCACGCATTCTCCGCAGCCGATGAATTCCCCGCAGCCTTCTTTCTGGCTGGGGTGCCCAGGAGGACAGATGCCGTCAATGCAGCCAGGTGGGACTGAATCTTGCTCGCGAGTTCCATACATACAAGGCTCGCTGTGTGTGTGCTTGGCTGGCGTCTGCTGGCTGGCTGGCTGGCTGGCTTATCTATGTGTCCATGTTTTCAGGTTGCCACGTCCATTCAAGGGTTGGCGTGGCGTGCGTGACCCTGTACACCTGCCGCTGTCCTCTGCTGTGACTGTGACGGCCACTGAGCCGGCTCCAGCGGTTGCGAGTGAGGCTGCCCCTGCAGCAGCCACCAAGCCGCCACCGAAGAGGGCCAGGCGAGTCAAGAAGCAGCAAGGTGACCGGGGGAGGGAGGAGGGAAGGCCTGCCTGACGCTACGCTGCTGCCTGCACTTGCTTGGATGAACGCGTTGATGGGATGGCTGCTGTGCTGGTTACTTGACTTGATGCATGCCATGGCATGCAGTTGTGGATACCACGCCGAAGGAGCCGATTCCCAAATCGGACACGTACCAAACCACCAACCACACGAACAGTCTACCTACAGTGTTGGTGTATATCCCTGTGTGTGTGCAATTTTGTTTTTTCTATTGTCTGTCTGCAGTATGCCAGAGTCGAGCCCCCCCTATTGGTATGTGTTGATCCCCGAGCGCGTCTTCCTGTACGAGGAGCCAATGGAGGAGATATTCAGGGAACGATCACAGGTAGGTACACAGACAGACAGACAGACAGACAGGGCCGGCCATACATGTATGCATGGAGAGCCAGTCAACTCACGTACGGCCATGCTTGCGCGTGGGTGCAGGACAAGGCTCGTCTGAAACAGCCATATGACTTCTGGGTCACTTCCAACCCATACATACTCAGGTACGCTGGCTGACAACCAGACACTCAGCCTGCAACGGACGGAGGGATACTCCCGTGCTTATGTGTGTGTGTGTGTGGTGTGTGTGTTGTGTGTAGTTCTCTGCGGACTGCGGCTGACGTGAAGCTGTGTCAGAAGCTGAGCACCCTGGGCCAGCGGTGCTATGCTGTCATCACATCAGACTACTACTACGCAAGGTCGGGCGGACACTGAGTGATGACAGACATAGCCTGCCTCCCTGTCTGTGAGTGTTGTGGGTAAGTACGTCACTGCTTTCGTTCTCCCGTCCCTCTCTGTGTGTGCAGGTTCCTTCGTCTGCGGCTGCGTGACGGCATCATGGGCGGACCCCTCAGACTCAAGAGGAAAAAGTGACCATGCATGTGTATGAGTGAATGACGTGCGAAGGCTTTTACAGAGAGATGCATTTGGCGATGGCGGGGTGGAGGGGAGGGGGGGAGAGAGGGATGGGTGAGCCGTTCACGCGTGCCAAGACGCGATGCCAGGCAGCTAGACCCACTGGACTTTTTCCGTGTGTGGATGGATGGATGGATTGGTTGATTTTTGGAGGGCGCGGTGCGGTGCATGATTGATTATTGAGATAAAGGACTGAGGGATGTCCAGACACTCACCACGCCACGTCCGTGTGTCATCATAATCAAGTGATCAATCAGTTGGGCGTGCAATCCATCCATCCATCTCACACTCTGTATGTACATACAGACAGCTACGGCCATGCAGCGATCACCGGACACCACAAGCACAGGCCGGCCGGTCCTGGTTGGCTGCCTGCCTAAGGCTCTAAGTTGATTTGTTGTCCGAATCTGGCGTACAGCGTGGCCTTGAGTTGGTCCATCTGCTCGCGTAGCCGGTCGCTCTCCGCCCTGAGGTGCTCCAGCTCGGCACTCAGCCTGCCCTTCTCACACTCTATGTGCTCGCTTATCGCATCCTCGGGCAAACGAATGAAACACTCACCTACACGAAGCCTGAGGGGAGCACACAAGGACCTTCCTGATTTATGCTGTCATGAGTGTCGTGTGTGTGTGTGTGTGTGTGTGTGTGGTGTGTGTCTGTACATGAGTGCGTCGGCCTCCATGGTGATCATGGCCTCTTCAGAGGCATCCTCCAGGTCCTGCAGCGACTTCTACACTCACACGCAAACCCATCAATACACATGGCACGGCATATGGCTGCACTCGTGGGCGACTTCATTGCAGGTCGGGCAGCCCTCACCTTCTTGGCCTCAATTTTCGCCAGCAACTCGTTGTTCTGCCGACACACAGACGAAACACACAGATGACACCGACAGTATGCATGTGGTTTATCTGTCTGCAGACGTGTGATTACATCCTTACTTACATGTATATTCGCTTTGTTGAAGGTGTTGATGCGGTCCTGGTCCTCGGCAGAAACCGCCTCTTCACTCATCGTCAGGCTGCAGGGAGGGTGGGCTGAGTTCTGAAAAAGCATGCAACCACATTGCAGGGGGTGAGGGATATCTGTGTGGCAGCCATCTTGCCTCGCGCTGATTTCTCCCTTCGATCCTTATTTTGCAATGCGAGCTTGGCTTGCAAAGGAAAGGCATTCATCCCCCCCCCTCCTGGCTTTGTCTTGGGGTTCCTGGACCAGGACAAGGTGTGTGGGCGAGCAGGATCTTGTTGTTCACGTGGTTGTTGGCCTGTCAGCTAGCCATGGCACAGGAGGCCAAGGTGTCTGCTGCAGCTGCCTTGACGTCCAGCGTCTGCACCCAGGCAGCACTGCATCCGTTCGACCTCATTCGAACTCGAATGATGGGTACGTACGGCAACAAAGACAGCCAGGGCAGGGACCACAGACAAATCACGTGCAGATCTCTGTCTGTGCAGTGTCGAAAGTGACAGGTGGTGCGGTTCCATCCCACCGGGGCACGATATCATCTGCGCGTGCAATCCTGAGGGCGGAGGGCATCCCCGGGCTGTACAAGGGCCTCACAGCCACCGTCATCGCGTCGGGGGTCTCATGGGGACTCTTCAGATACCTGTACGTATGTATGTATGCCTTAACGCCCTCACGGAGGGTGGCCTAGTCGATTGAGGTGTTGTGCTCGCTGTGGACCCATGTGTGTATGCGTATGTGTGCAGCTTCGATGTGTGGAGGTATGAGATAGGCCGATACCGCCAAGTGACCATGGCCGAGTGGCGGGGAGATGGCGGCCAGGAGGGAATACCAAGAAGCAGCCATGCGTCATTTAGTGATAACCTGGTGAGGCAGCCACGCAGTCAGAGAGTCATTCATGGGCCCCATGAGTGGTGCACGACGGGTGTGTGTGTGTGTGTTTGGTGTGCAGCTTGCGAGTATGGGTGCGAGTTTTGCCTCCACGCTGTGTGTGCATCCCCTGTGGCTCCTCAAAAGCCGGCTGGAAATGCAGACATTCGAAAGCAAGGTCAGTCAAGTCAGGGATCGTTTCCCTCCACGTCGCCGATGAGTGTGAGCGTTCTGTGCATCGATCGTCAGAGTGCCGGGTGGGTGCAGTATGGTGGCTGGTGGGACTGCCTGCGGACGATAGTGAGGACGGAGGGCCCCATGTCGCTCTACAGGGGGCTGGGTCCCGCCCTCGGCCTGGTGCCTCACGCCGCCGTACAGCTCCTGGCGTACGAAGAAATCAAAAAAAGGGACAGGTGCAGACACACACTGACGCAGGGAGGGAGGGAGGGAGGGAGGAGAGAGAGCGTTGACGTCGTGTGTGTGTGGTGTAAGTGGGTGTTTGATGGATGGTGTATGTATGTGTGTAGGCGTGTGGAGGGTGTGCCGTTGAATCCCATCAAGCCCTTCCTGTGGGGCGCCGCCTCCAAGTTCGCCGCATCATGCATCACCTTCCCACTGCAGGTACCCTTATGTGAGAAATAGGGGGTGTATCTTCTTCGTTCCACTGTGTCCACCTGTCTGTGTGTGTGTGGGCCCCCTGACTGACTGTCTGTCTGTCTGGCAGGTGTTGCGTGTTCGGCAGCAGGTGCAGACGAATCCCTACGGCGGCCGGAACTTCCTCACTGTCGCCCTGGTCGGTCAGTCAGTCAGTGAGGAAATCTGCCACGCAGGCACCGATACACTGATTGACATGTCTGATGGATGGATGGACGCATGCAGACTATGGTGTCCGAGGAGGGCGTCATTTCCCTCTATCGTGGCTTCTGGGTGCACGTCCAGGTCAGATGCCCACGCACAAACTCTCTAAAAGGGCTGTCAGATCAGTGTCATGTGTGCTTGTATGCGTGTCTGTCTGTCTGTCTGTCTGTGTCAACGGATGTGTGCAGCGTGCCTGTCTGCACAACGCCGTCATGTTTTTGTTGTTCGAGAGGTTTTTGGGCAACGTCTGAGTGTGCCTTGGATCTCGGCATCTTGTCGGGTGTAGATAGATAGACATTCAGGTCTCCTTCCCTCCCTATGTGTGAGTAGTGTACATATTATGTAGGTTTGTGTGTGTGTGTGTGTGTGTGTTTCTGCCTGTGGTGTTCATTGCAAATGAGTGCACGGAGAGCTGTTTGAGGGGGGAAGGTGTCCATCCGTCTGTGAGTTTCTTCTTTCTGGTGTCAGTCAGTCAGTCAGTGTCCATCCACATCACACCACACCGCACCCTGCCTGCCTGCCTGCCTTGATCCACTGACTGACTGACTGACTGACGTCCATGACCCCCACCCACCGACCCAGATGCGATCGATGCATGGAGTACGTGAAAGAAATGAATGGGGCTGCCTGACAGGCCTGCCGGCTGCATTCATTCCACGTATGGTCTCTCTCTACCACTCACTCTCTCATGCAGCCAGACAGCCAGCCACGATCCATGCCAGCCATGATGTATTCATGCATTGATTGATTGATTGAGAGCCGGCCGACCCTGGTGGATTGGAGGAGAGGGCTCGATCAGCAGCCGACGGCGGATTTGCCCAGGAGTTTGTGCGTCAAGGGCGACGATTCCTTGGGACCACAGGTTTGGATCTGACAGACAGACAGACAGGCAGGCAGGGACCATGCACAGCCCACGTATGTGTGTGTGTGCGTGGCAGAAGCACCCGCCCGTCTGTCTTGGTGTGTGGATGGAAGAGTGTTGTCATACGGTCTGGTCGGTGACAGCCTTCTTGTCGAAGCACAGAGGCTCGCCATCCTTGTCCTTGGTCTTGGTCGAGGCTGCACACAGCATGCGCCACACAGACCACAACCGTATCGACATCGGCGCAGACACATGTATGTATGGATACAATATATAATAGCATACGTACCTTCGCAGGCGTCTGCCGCTAAGTGGCAGATCCCTATGCCATAAGCGATGCTGTGTTTTCTATCGACGAAGGCGGTGCCGAGAACTAAGTACGTAACAGCCGTGTTTCTCTCTCTACTCAATCAATGTGAGCGTGCGCATGCGCATACCGCATGTGTACTGTTCTGGACACCCCTCGACGTCTCCGGCACCGGCACCCCACACTTTGGTGCCTCCTTCCATTTTTGTTGTCTGGCATCACACATATGCATACGTCATCCGTCAGCCCCCATGTCTCCTCACTTACCGCAAACATCATCACGCAGGGCGTGGGTTTTCCTTGGGCGACAAGGGCTGTGCCATTGCGGTGATGCCTGCCTCCGTAGGGATGGATGAAGCTGCCGCCGCCCACCGCACGCCCGGCGGCCAGACAGGAGAGGAGCAGTGCCAGGAAAACACCGGCCATCTCTTTTGCTCGGCTTTAATTGGCCCGCGGAATTAACGCACGTCTCTCTTTCTGTCTAGTGCAGACCGCTTCCTGCTTCGCTCAGGCACGGGATTGGAAGAAAGAATCGGAATACTAGAGAATTCGGATGTCAGGACGAGACGCCAATTGGGGGCCGGGTCGCCCCCTCATGCATGCGTGCGTGCCAAGTAGCACAAACAGGAGCGTTGAAATGCGTGCAATGCGACCAACGGGCACTGATTCGTTCCTCCAACATAAAATAAAGTGGCAGCCTGTTATATACACACCTACACGCTTTCCCGCAAGCAGGATGGATCCATCAGGCCTGCATCAACACATAGTCTCGGGAGCTTCTCCCGAACCGAATCACGTCCTGCTCCCTGCAGCAGCAGTACACACACACACACACACACACATGAAGCAAAAGTAGCCGGCTGGCCCTTCCATGAGTGAGTGCATCGTGTCGGTCGGTCGGCCGCCCTGTGTGTCGTGCCATGTACTGTGTGTGGGTGACATATATGAGTGTTAACGGCGCCCCACTCGCTCACTTGCTCACCCACCTTAGCTCGACGTATCTGCATGGCTCGATCTTCTTGTCGTTGAGGACGGTGCCGTTGGTGCTCTCCAAATCCATCAGGTACGGACTGCATTGCATGAACAGCACATGACACAAATACATACATACAGCAAGCCAGCGAGCCACACCATGGGCCAGCCAGCCATTGGTGCGTGGTGGGTGGATGAATGGATGGATGGATGTGTGGATGCGTACGTACACGACATCGGTTCCCACGAGTCGGTACTGCACGACGGCATGTTGCTTGGAGCATGTGGGATGTCGCGTCACGATGTCCGCCACCTTCTCGTCCTTGCCAAACAAATACGTCGCCTGACGGTGCAAGTAGTGAACCTCTGCACCCAGCAAGCCAGCCAAGACGAGACGACGTGTGTGTACCATTTAGACACACCAAAGCGCTCCGTCACACTCGGTTTGGTACGTACCCTTTTCCTTTTCGTCATCATCCTTGAAGACATAGAAGCGCCACTTCTTGGTGGGCAGCCGAGACTCGGGAGGCACAGTGTACTGATGGGGGCGTGAGACGATCGATGCATATATACAACCGAGGCACACAGACAGGCAACAATGGTAGGGTGGCTGGGGAAGGTGGATTCCCTTTCAGGACTGCCTGTCCTCTGATGCTCACTCACTTTGAGAGTGATTCCATTCCTGACGTTGGTTTCCTTGGCCAGTAGGCCGGAAGGCTCATAGTTGGGTTCCTCAGGAGGAGGCTCCTCCTTGCCCTCGTCAACACCGTCGCCGCTGGCCTCAGATCTACAAGACTCCATTAAACACACAATATGGATAGATGGATGCATTTCCGTCCGCAACACTTGCGTCATGCATGGTGCTCCTTGCCTTCGTACCCGGTCCGTCGTGGTGCTCCTTCCTCGTCTTGAGATGATTTTCTGTTTCTCTTTCTTCTTTCCTCTTCATTTCCATAGTCCTCTTTTCGACCCCACTGCTCCTCCACATCTTCCTCCCTGCCGTAATCCCTCTCAGTACGACCTCTCTTGCTCATTCTCCTCTCCGCGAGCTCCTTTGACCGTTTTTGACGGGAGTGGTGTGGTCCGCGAATTGGGCTAGTGCCCATTTGCGTCTTTAAGAAACAACACGTTCGGCAGACAAAACGCTCGATCATGATCGTATGGGAGAGAAAAGGAAAAACAGTAGCGGTGTTATGCTGCTTGCAGTACTACAGACACGTCAATATGTCGAGAAGCTTCGTGTTTTTTGTCACGTTTGGATCAGTGACCGTCAAACTGATGTACCCTAAAGCGATAAGCTATTGAACAAAGCTCCGATGTCAGGGTAGGGTGCTTCCTGAAACCGCTGCTGCTTGAAAAAGATCGCGCTTGGCTTCCCTGAGAAAGTCAACGAACAAGGGTATCTCTGGGCGCGAACTTCTTAAAAAAGCAAGATCCATTACGGAAGTAAGCATCAAGTAAGCATCAACTGACTGAACACACGAAACGCGCCAGTGTGTGGTGGATGGGATATTTCTCCTTTGTCCGTTCATGCAGCTTGTTGAGCTTGGCCAGCTCTTCACGCAGGCAGCCAGGCCATTCTTGCCTCAGCCACTTCTCATCAAAGTCCCGCGCAATGTGGAGGCCTTCGGGGGACGTCACTCTTGACTCTTGACAGCGCCACATAGATGGCAAAAGGAATCGTTGCCTTCGTCTGGTAAGGAGGAGGGCGAGATCCACCGTTACCTCCTTGAGGGTCTTGCCTTGCACCTTCCAGACAGTGCGACAGAAGGCAGGGACAATAGGAAGTTGAATACGTTTGACTGTCCGATTGATAGGCGTTGATGTGAGGCCGAGGAAGCTCCTGTTGAGAGGAAAAGAGCGCACAGCTGGTGTCAGAGCTGTGTACGGGTTCGGTCGTGATCGTCCTTCATCAGGCACATGCCGAAGGACGGCCGTATGCGGATGGGCTTCGGGGGGGGGGGGGGGGGGGGGGGGAAGGGAAGGCCCGTGATGCGTGTGTCGGCTGTTCTCGAACTGCAGGATGACCTCCGCTGGATCTGCAGCCACGCCCGTAGCTGCCAGACACAGCCAGTGTCTGCATTGCAGTTCAGCAAAATAAACCTTCACCGCTTTCATGACGGTCTTGCCGGTGCCGCCCCCGCGGGTCAGGCACATGAGCAATGACGCGATGTACTTGTTGTCCCTCAGGTCTTTGTAGTGGTTCAGCAACTGGCTGCAGATGATTTGGAACGCCCGCATCTGCTTTTTGTTCAATCGGTGATGGCTCACCCACTGAACAGAGAAGATCCTGTCGTCGACCGTCTCAGGCGGCTTGAATGCGGACGCCGGCTGCGCCAGCAATCGAGTGAGGTCGGCCGCATTCATCGAGTGACCACCGTGTGTGAAGATATTCG